AGGGTATGAAAAAGTAAGACTAAAAGTAGTTTTTTAATAGAAAGGGGAAATGTTTTGTTGGAAGTGGAAAAAATGAAAGAGGAAGTGTTTTTGAAAACGGAGGGAGTACTAATTTTTAGTAATATTCACTAAAAAAATATTACTATAGCGTCAAACATTATTCATTTTTTTTGGTAATTTTGAGGAAACACAACAACATATTGTATTTTTTTTCATTTTTGTGTATTTTTCTAGTTTTGATCTTTTATAGTCAGAAACAGAGGTAATAGAAATAAATTTACATAGACGAGCACTAGAATTTGAATTTCAAATCTAGATTTAATCCAAATTTTATATTTGAGGAATTTCAAAATTTTAGATTTGGATTTGAAATTAATTTCACAGATTAAGTACATTTTGCAAAGCTCAAATATATATGTCTCCTCTTTTTAATTAAAATTTAAGAATTTAAACTTTAGAAATAAAACAAAAGAATTGAGATGAAATACTCCACTAATTTCCAAATACTACGACATAAATCAAATTGATTTATTCCAAATAAAATTGGATTGGTAGGACGAATTGCTATGGGGAGCAGCATGGCTCTACAAAGCCACAAATGATGTACGACATTTGGATTACGTGACCAAAAACATAAATAAAATCTGGACGGCCGGAAGTTCATTTGGATGGGATAGTAAGCACGCCGGCATTAATGTCCTCCTCTCCAAGGTTAGTTATTAAAATTATCTCCAAAGTACTTGTGTAATTAATAACACTTGAGTTTTAGTTTGAAAAATAATTTTTTTATTTAAAAAAAAAAACTTGCAGTATGCTCTAAGTGAGGGGAGCAAAAACAATCTTCCATTCATTTCCAATGCAGATACACTCGTGTGTGCGGTCCTTCCGGAATCGCCTTTGAGTCGCGAGACGTTCACTCCCGGTGCGTACCTCTTCTCGGTTGTGAGGACATTTTAATGAGACGAATGGAATCTAATGAAACTGTGCGAGCCATCGATTAGACCATGACCCGATATTCTCATAAATTTTCATTTCGTTTGAGTTTTCATACTATTCAATGCAATATATTTATCATTAATATTTTTATTTATAAAAAAAAATAATATTTCAAAAGGGTGTTTCAAAATTAAATTAACACACTACATATTAGTAATATTACATTTATTATATGTATGATAATTAAATGTATTCTTTTTTTCATCATTGGGAATGGAAATATCATCAAATGGACATACATTAATTTTATTTTTATTTTTTTTGCATAATGCATGGGGTGCATGCATGCAGGAGGACTGATATACCAAAAACAAATGGTGAGCATGCAACGACCCGTATCTTTGTCGTTTCTTTTGGTCACGTATGCGACTTACTTGGGACAGTCCAAACGGACCACTATTGACTGTGACGGCAAAGCTATCCCAACTTCCAGGCTTATTGAGTTTGCCAAATCTCAGGTGATTTAATTAATTATATTATTAAAAACAAATTAGCACTTTTCTTCTCCATTATATTCGTCTCATCACAATGTAATCATATTGCGATTGTACGTAGTTTCATTACACTCCTATTTAGTGATTTAAACTACTCCCTCTCTTTTCAAAAATTTTTCTCTTCTTGACTTTTACACTATGTTCGGTTCAAGGAATTTGAAAGGGAAAAGAAAAGAAAATGCAATGGAAAACAGTTTTTCATGTTTGGTTGGAGAGGAAAAGTGAAAGGAAAAGAAAAATGAGAAGACAAATGTACTAAGTGGAGAAAAAACCAAATTCCTCCCATTTTGGTGAGGAAAATGAGAGAAAATCATTTTCTTTTCTTTTCCTTCCAAAGTCCTTGAACCAAACTTACACTTAGAGAATTTAAAATAGATGTATTTTTGTGTTGATTTTTCTGAAACATCATTGATACAATGGGTAAGAAAATAGAATGAGATTGATATATTATTAATAAAAAGGTGCTCCCTCCGTCCCTAAATAAACTTCCCTCCTTGACTTTTTGATGATTTAAGATAGGTATTTTTTTGTGTTGACTTTCCAAAAATACCTCTGATGTGATGTGTAAAAGTAAGATGTGATATGTAGATTATTAGTAAAAAGGTATGATGTGATAGGTAGGGTATGAAAAAGTAAGGGGTAAAAAGGGTTTTTTTAAAAGAAAAAAGAAGTTTATTTGGGGACAAAGAAAAAACGAAAGAGAAAGTTTATTTAGGGACGGAGGGAGTATAATGTAATAGGTATGGTAAGAATTAGTAGAAATAAAAATGATTTTACTACTACTACGTACTACAAAAAAATCAAATCGAATACTTCATTTGCATCGGTTTCAGAGAAAAACTATATATCAAATCGACTACCCCATTTTGGAACACACTTTTTGAATCGATAATTACGAAATAAATGATTCAAAAGCCCCATTCGGAGCGCGAATTATGTACTCATGAAGGACTTTTTGGATCAATTATATATACAACCGATGTAAAAAGTATTTGCACGTGTTGCATCGCTTCTTTTTTGCTTTGATTAGGAACCGATTCAATAAGTCAAAAATAACAAAGGCAAAAGCTAAATTATGTAGTAGTGTTTTCTAAACAGAAAGAGGAAGCTATAAGGAGTCTTGTTGATCAGGAGGTCACGAGTTTGGACCTTACCTTCACCGCCCAATTTTAAAATGTTCACGTGTCGAGCAAACAAAAATCGCGTATGCACATAAAAAGACGCGTTAGAGTATAAAATCTTTTTTGGACTTACAACCACATGCTTAAGCTTTGATTGAGTTGCAACCAATAAAATAAATGTATGTCCATTGGATGAAATGTTAATCTTTTTTTGGTGTATACAAGCTTGAATATAATGCTTGATCAAGCTTTTGATAGAATTGATTCCCGAGAATATTTGAATATGAAATATTGCTTAAATATATACGTGCAGGTGGATTACATCCTCGGAAATAACCCGATGAAGATGTCGTACATGGTGGGGTACGGCAACAAGTATCCCCAACGAATACAACATCGCGGGTCTTCGTTGCCGTCCATTGAGGCCCATCCCCAGCACATTGGATGCAAAGACGGGACTCCATACTTCCAGAGCCCAAAGCCCAACCCAAACATTCTTATTGGGGCACTGGTGGGAGGGCCCAACGATGGAACGGACCATTTTCCAGATGATAGAGTTGATGCGGGCCAGTCCGAGCCCGTTACCTATCTCAATGCACCCTTTGTCGGCCTCTTGGCTTATCTCAAAGCAAATTCCCATTAATGAATTATTTGATGGGTTATTAGCTAATTAATCAAGATTTACACGGAGTGTATAATTAATAATGTTCAATTTATTTCGCTGTTTACAATTTACACACGCGCCATAACTCATGCTCCATAGAGTGGATGGTGTCTTGTGTATGTTGTGTTGTTGTATATTGTAATTGTAAAAAATAAATATAAATTTTTAGGTCTCCATTTTATTTACTCTCTCTCTCAATTTAAATCATCTCTTACTGTTTACGAGGTTTGACTGTTATTAGTTTTATTACAAAGTATATATGATGAATTTGTAAATATAATAAATACTCCCTCCGTCCCACTGTCTTTGTCCACTTACCTTTTGACACACCATCCAATGCACTTCTTTAATCCATTTTATCTTGTAATTTGTATATTAAAAAATTATAAAAATCATATATTAATAATCTATATGTTAAGACGAATCAAACAAGATCACACATGACTATTCTTAGGCTTACACATTGAGAGAATTTGATGAGTCAAAGTGCTTAGATGAACAGTTCCAAAAGTCAAAACTGGACAAAGACAATGGGACGGAGGTAGTACATTATTGAATGCTCCATGTTGCACTCTTAGTATGTTATTTGAAAATTTGTATGAAGTATATAATTTAAATAAATAAATGTTAAATGAATTGATATGTCAAAACTATATCCTAACATAAACCTAATTATATTGAGTTTACATCATAATTAAATATAATTTTTTTTACAATTTATGCTCAATGAGTGTTACTATTTAGTTAAAAAATTAGAATAGAAAAAAGTTTGTAAGACGAGGGAATATAAGTTAGTGATTTGTTTGCGGTAGCAGTTGGTTGTGGAGTATTTTAAATTCAGGATTTAATTGGAAAAAAACATGAATCTTTATTGGAGTCGTGGAATTGAATCCTTTGAAACAAACCGTGTTAAGGCAGAAAATATTTTTTTTCCCAAAAACCAGCCCCAAATATTGGTGTCCCCAATGGCCCAATCGTATTCCAAAATTTTAAGCCCAAAATACTTATGTCCAAATCCCGCAAGAAGTAACTTCGTTCTCTTCCGCAAGAAGTCACAAATCCCGCCAGGCCCTCTCGCCGCACCGCCGTTGGATCCTCATCGCCGGCGGACAAAATCGAAAGCTCTCCGCCTCAAGGAGTCATCGAATCGGCACAAGGAATCAGCCTTCAGTTCCTTTCTCTCAGAGTGTATCCACGTTAGGTATTTCATTTTTTTTATTTTATTTTATTTTTTTTACAAAACATTAGCGGAATCTAAATCAGAAGAGTGGCAAAGTTGTCTCTTACTTTTCTGTGTTTTTCTATAAATTTCATACTCAATATTTGTATAACAGGTTTAGTTTAATTTCTCTTATTATAAACTATGAGTTTTTCAATTTAGTTCCATCCTTTTCTCCGTTTATGTTTGTATGAATTTGGGCGGTGTGTTTAAGTTATGATAATGCAGACCGGATCTTAGAATTGCTTTAATTATTCACTTGGTGTTGATGAATTAACACTCCATGTTTTTTTTTTTTGCAGAGAGATTGACAAAAGACACAATGATGAAAATTTCCAATGCGAAAGACAGACACATGAATCTTGTTACCCACAAGAGAATGAAATCATCATCATCATCTTCCTCATTTTCTTCCCATCAGTTGTTCAACGGCCTGAGCGAAAGCTTGTTGTTTGAAATCCCTCTTAGGGTTCCGAGCAGAGCACTTCATCGGTTGAAATCAGTATGCAAAACATGGAATCCTCTCATCTCATCCAATCATTTTGTTATGTCTTTCAATCATATTCGCCATGACCCATCCCTTCCTCAGAATCCTCCTGATTCTTATCAAGACTTGTATGGGCTTATCCTCAAACTTAATCATTATCGTTCTGATCACCACTTGTATGGGATTGTTAAGTTTCATAGCTTTGGACTACAACATGGTGGAGGATGGTCACTTTGATCCTGGGATATATATATGGAACCTCGAGGACTATGACATGGGGGTGTGGAGTCTGGTGCACAAAATTCACACCCCAATTATGAAATTTTATGTCATTGAACGAGATTTTGAAGATGCAATGGGCATTATCACGGCAAAGTATATGCACATAGATGGGATTGCCATCTGCAAGTTGCATGATTCTTCTCTATGGCTTTGCAACACCCAAAACGGAGCCATGATTCTATTGCACAAGTTTGCCCCTGCTTTAAATGTGCCTCGCCTTACTGTCCATCCGGTTGTTAATCAGTTGTGGCCAACACCAGTACCACCACTGTTGCCTTTGCGGCCTTGCACGGGCAAGGGTAAGATCTTGTTCTTGTTCTCATTACCTCTTGATTCTTTACTTGGAAAAAGCCTTTCTAATGTTTGCGTACACACACCCTACCCTAATCGCACTTTCGTGGGATTTGCTGAATTTGTCGTTGTTGTAGTGATATTCTTTGGACCATAGTTGTGTTAGTGTTCTTGGGTTCGCATTTTCATTTCATCTTAATGTTTTTTGTGATATTTGCAGATTGTGGGAATACCAATACTACTGGAAAACTGAAGAAAGAGAGGGAAGCATAGAGTTCACCTACTTCGAGGATCTATTTATATGCCGAAGTTTCCTTTTTTTTTTTTAACTCTCTGAAATGGGTGGTTACTACTTCAGTCATCCATTAACTTTTGTTTGTGTATGCTTTTTTATATGGTCTATTTGATAAGATAAAATATTTTTGTCATTACTTGTTTTGTAAAACTTTCAATGTACTCCGGATAGTTTTTAAATATGTGATTTATGGAGTACTTTTTATTTTCATACATATTTGTAAATGAAATCCATTTAAAAGAGTTGATATTTGGCACGTTGATTGAATAGAGATGATAAATTATGTGGTAGTAGTAGTTAATATTCCCTATGATTTTTTTTATGAATTTTAGTCTTTAGTTTACGGAACAACTCGTGCCCTAGATATTATGTAATTCATTTTTTTGAGAATAATCTTACTCCGTAATAATAATAAATTCGATGCTACATATATATACATACATATATTTTTCTTTTTTAATTTGTTGATTAAAAAAATTATACTCCGCACATATATCAAAAATTAGTTACATTGTTTCTTACAATTACTTTCTTTAATGTTCAACCTGACAATAAAAAATAATTTGCCATTTTAGTTTGTTTGAAAAAAAGGGTTTAGTTTTTCTCTTAGAAGAAGATATTTACGGAGTATGTCTTTGCCTTTTTCTTTCATAATTTCCAATCAGTCTTTTTTTTTATACATATTAAATTATCAAGCATACCTAAATAGGGAATTAAATGTGCTATTTTAANATTGGGGGCGAAGAATGGAAAAGATGGGGGAGGGGGGGGGGGAGTACAAATTAAGCAACTGGAAAGAAAGTGTGTGGTAGGCATCATGTGTGTTGTCTGGTGTGGTGTCCCAATCATAAACAATGCCATACCATTGTGACATTGTTCTCGTTGTCCTCCCAATTATCAACATTTATTTATTCTATTCCTAAAAAAGATAGAACGGGTAAATCATGATATAATTTCAATCTAGTTCTTACAGAGGTCGTCATATGTCCGGCGTATACAAGGAGCTATTACAAACGATAGATCTCCTACACTGCCGTTGTCAGGATTCGACCCTTATACCAATGGATTTGACATACTCTTCTTGAACCAGTTGATCTAGCTATGCGGGTTTGTTTATTCTTTTCCTAAACTTGCAAGTCTGGTGCCCAATACATAATTCCCCTTTTATGTCCAATTTCCAAATTAAATTTTAATTTACCAGAGTACACCTTCTATTTCAAAAATAATTGTCTGAAATTTATTTTATATTAAATTTTAAATGAATGAAGACATAATTAAGTCTAGATCTAATCCACAGTTCTTTCGAATAAGGGAAGTATAATACTTCCTCCATCCCCGAATTTTTTTGTATTTTGACTTTTTTAGTCAAATTATGACAATTTTTTAACAAAAATTAAACATAATCTAAATAAAAAATGTTATAAAAGTTTGATATATCAAATTAATTTATTTTCTCACAATTTGTAGTCAAAACATTTCACTGTTTGACCAAAAAAGTCAAAACATGAAGAGTTCTCAGCGACGGAGGGAGTAAACGAATTGTACTTCTCGAGTATAACTAGATATTTTCGTTTAATTTATTTTAATATTGTGGTCAAATGGAGGCCGAGAATTCACAAAATCTCCTTTTCTTCTTTTTTGTTGGGCCCTTTGTGAATTGGACTTTGGACCGAAGGTCTATTTGGACATTATCACATATTTTTGTTTATTTTGAAAATATTTATTTTTAACACTTGAAATTATTTTTTGGCATTTAGGAAGGTCCATCGTTAACCATAGGTGCAGGTAATAATTTGCCCCTTTGTAATAGGCCTAATCATTCAACCCAATATTCCATCATCGACAAAATAAAAAGAAAAAGATAAACCTCATCCTTAGGCGTCTCTTCAAAACAGACAAAAATGTAATACTCCTTCTGTCTTTCCAATAACCCTTTTTCTATGTTTACAATAGATCTTCTCATTTCATTTTTTAACAATTAAAATACCACAACTACCCCCATTTAGTTTATTTATTACATCTCACCCACCTCATTTAATATACTCTACCCATTTTCATTAAGGGTATTATGGTAAACTTTCACCTTTTTTCAACTATTCTTAAAAACCACCAAAAGTCAAAATTAGAACATCTTAGGGGGACGGAGGGAGTACGTGAGAAAGTAAATTTGACTTTAATAAAAGAACAGCGCCTAGAAACTGATATTTGTAAAAGTCTTGTGTTTCCCAAATTTTCTTCTTAAATATGCTATATACAAGTTTGTTTCAAAGCCAATACTCTATTACAATAATCACACAATGAAAAATGTTCACAAATTAGTGGATGGAATTACACACTGCACCATGTTACCACACTAGAAAACGAGACACATATGCATCATTTATCACATCCATGTCACCATTCTAGTAGCTTCTTAATACCTTGTAAAAATACACACTTTTTTTGTATAGTATTCTTCTTTTCTTCATATTTAACTGATCATCATAATTTTTAAAATTCATCAAAAGTTGAATGAATGCTAATATAAATCATATTTACATTCATTTCACTTCTAATGTAAATAAAAATTGTAATGATCAATTAATTATGAATAAAGATTGACTTTGTTTCCAATTAATTTTTTTATGTCACAACAATGAGTAGTGGAATTCAAAGACTACTACAACTCACTGGTGGTGAGCGGCGAAGCTGTTGATGAGAGCTAAAGCGTTGCTGGTCAAACGCGCCACCTTCCGTATCAACTGCCGCACCGCCGTCTTCAGGTTGCCGTCGAGCGCTTTTCCGGCGAATCCGTCGGAGCAGGTGTCCTGGTCGGTCAAGGCGGCGCTGACCCACGTCTCGACGTCGCTCATTTTCATGGCGAACTCCGGCCCGCTGAGGTGGCCGCCGAGCTGCTTCATCTCCTTCATCGAGTTCCTGATCTGGGCGACGGAATCCCGGAGCTCCTCCAGGCAGTCCCGCATGGCGCCGGCCTCCCGGTGCGTGAAGTTGAAGCTCTGCGCCGCCATTCTGGACAGGGCGGCGGCGGTCGAGTTGGCGCTCTGGACGGCTACCGTCAGGGCCGTCTGGGCGAGAATTTCCGGGTCGGCTCCGATCTCACTCGCGTGGCTCGACAGGGAGGCGTAACAGAGATGCGGGTACGTCGTCGATTCGCAGGATGTTTTGATGAAGTCGGCGTTTGTGGTTCCGGCGTTGACGCTCGCCGCCGCCGCCGGCGACGAATGGTTTGTGGAGAATAATGATAGTGAAAGAAGAAAAGCAAGAAGAAGAAGAAGTTGGTTGGGCAACGCCATTCCGGTTTATCTCTCTCGTGCTACTACTAATGAGGCTGTGAATTTATTGAATTGGTTTGGGTTATAAGCTATATTTATAGGGAAATTAGGGCTCTCTCTAATACCTGTTCCATCTTATGTTCAATAATTATCTACTCCGTATTTAAAAGTAAAATAATACTACCTCCGTCCCGCTTTGTTTGTCCGCTTTTGACTTTTGGAACTGTTCATTTAAGCACTTTAACTCATCAAATTCTCTCAATGTGTAACCCTAAATATAGTCATGTGTGATCTTGTTTGATTTGTCTTAACATATAGATTATTAATATATAATTTCTATAATTTTTTAATATACAAATTATAAGATAAAATGGATTAAAGAAGTGCATTGGATGGTGTGCAAAAATGAAAGTGGACAAATATAGTGGGACGGAGGGAGTAATGCTAAAGTCACAAAAAACAATTCAGAAAATTCACAAAATTTCTTTTTTACCATTTTTCAAGAAATAAAATATTCTCAAATAATGAAATATATTTTAATTTAAAAATTACAAAAGTCAGATTGGTGAAGTTTGTGTACTACGAAGTACTCCCTCCGTCTCCCTAAGATGTTCTCATTTTGACTTTTGGTAGTTTTTAAGGAGAGTTGAAAAAAGGTGAAAGTTTACCATAATACCCTTAATGAAAAATGGATGGAGTGTATTAAATGAGGTGGGTGAGTTGTAATAAATAAAGTAAGTGGGGGTAGTTGTGGTATTTTAATTGTTAAAAAATAAAATGAGCAGATCTATTGTGGACAAGGAAAAATGACTATTGAGAAGATCTATGGGGGACGGAGGGAGTATATGTTTGTGTCTAACATTTTCCTTAAAAGTAACATTAGCTATCTTTTAATCTCCCTGTCTTAAAATAAAATTCTCAATTGAACTTTTATGGTAAATTTTTTTATATGTGTGAATTTAATAAACTTAGGTGATATTTTTAAATGTAACCATTTAGAGGATGACCACCCTTGAAAAAAAATGAATCCAAACGTTTAAATTTTTAAATTTTATATACTCGTAATTGATAAAATGAGACACTTAAATGGAGAAGTAGATAATTAAAAGAGGCACGGTCATGTTACAAAAGTGGTGACAAGTGCCAAGATTGAGATTGGCTCTCTATCCAAAATATCATGTCCTTAGATTATTATTATTTTTCTTTTTTAATTGCATCCTTTTTCTCGTATATCATCACCGCAATAATTTTCGTTCCATTTTCTTAATTACATTTTTTCCTCGTTATAAGAATAAGAGTATAATACCTTTTAATTACATGTTATTTTTTAAATTTAGTCTTTTATTCTAAGATATCTTTTAAATTAATTCTTAATTTTTGAAAAATATGCAATAAATAATATCATGGGTTTTAGGTCATATATGTCAAATTTTTTTTTCCATATATAGTGTTTGAAAGACCAATTATCAAATACTTTTGCCGAATAATTAGGTGAAATGAAATCATAAAAGATGTAATGATAATGTAATTATGCGGTAGAAATGAGTGGTTAGATCTTTAAAAAGGTGAGAGAGTGGGGAAATAATGTGGAAAGTGGTCACGAGAAATCCCAAATGTGAGACGACGCACTGATGTGGTCGACAATGACAGCTAATTATTGGCTCCCACTTTTTTCAAAAAACAAAAAAGAAAAAAAAAAAGAATGCACCCAATTTCGAGGCACAGAGAATTCATTCTGGCAGAGCACAACAAATCACATTTCTTAATTTCGTATAGGTTCATTTAAGATTACAATGTCCCTTCATCCTATAAATAAAGGCACATCTCACGTTATTAAACAAATCAAAATCTCACTCTTTTATTGTTAAAAGTTTACAATAAAAGATAAATATATAAAAATTACCAACAAATCAAAATAATAACTGTACTTTTGGTTGTGCATGCCACAAAAAATGGGAGTACGTACATCAGAGTATTCAACACGAATCTTTACGCGCAAACAATAACTATTATCAGAATGATAAAAAAATCAAATGAATTTAAATATTTTTTTATCACATACTTCTAGAATTTAATATATCTAATAATAGTCCCTTATTTATGAATAAAGGTATATATATTGCGCCCGCATGGGCAGCTCAGTTGGTCAAGAGCGTGAAATCTTGGACCGATGACCAGGGATCGAGTCCCGCAAGCAGCAGTGTGGGAGCTATCCAAAAATCCCATAAAGGGTGAGGGAGGCTTCTTGTGCGCGGTGGGCACGAGTCTAGCGTTCTTGGCCGACTGAATCACCATGATTTACTTCCTCCACCATTCCTGTCGGGCAAGGGGGTGGGGGCGCCTGGGGTGGGCGATTCCACCTTTTGGACCGATGAATAAAGGTATACATCTAGTTTAAATATTGTGTCAAATATTCTGACAAATTGGTTACCAAAGGTGGCTAAAGCGGTAAGATATTGAGTGCTTCGCGGTCTTTGAGGTGGATTATCTTTGAGACCCTAAGCTTGGTTATTGATGATATTTTGAGTTCAATTCAATTTTGTACTCTGTGAATTGGTATTTTGTGAAGCGGAGTGATATTCATTTGACAATGCAAAAGAAAAAAATAAAAAGAAAATCAATAGATGATGAGATTGGTATTTCATTTATCCATAAATTTTTTCACTGCAATAAAAACATATGAGCTCTATCTCAAAGACTCTCTCAGACTCAATCGAACAATTACTAAGAGAAGATAAATTAAACTATAAAGACAAATACTCCGGTAAATTTTTTACTACAATAACACTAGGCGAGAGGAGACATTATATTGGACATCAAAGAAAAGGCAAGCAATAGCTATTTGGATTTCATTTTTTTTAGGTAGCACGTCGAGTTGTCACTGCGAACCAATACGGATATCTACATAAATATGGGTATTATGCAACACCGGATTATTTTTGTCCAAACTTATCACTACAAAACGTAGTGTCGCCCTCCAATAAAAAAAAATTACTGTTTGATTTTTTTTGTAATAAATTAAGATTACATTTTGACTATTAATAAATAAATAGTTTTTTAAATATATAGTATAGGAAGACTCTTGGTGTACTTGTTCCTTGTTCTATATTAATTGTGGACTTTTGATTTACTTATAATTTTGTAATTAGTGATGAGCATAAAGACTAGGACCGAAAAGATTGATCGGGATAGATTATGATTAAGACTAGAACAAAAAATGAAGCTTATATTCTACCGGAGTAGTATTTTTTCTATGTTTTTCTCCTATTTAGGGTAATTAAGACTAGAACAAAAAATGAAGCTTATATTTTAATATTTTTTTCTATGTTTTTCTACTATTTAGGGTAGTTCCTTAACTTATTACTCCATCCGTCCTAAAATTAATTTCCCATTTGACTTTTCACGGTCTCTAATGCAGCACTTTGACCATTAATATCTATATTTTTATATGAATATATATTATCATAATAATATATTTCAAAACTATGTTTCAAAACGAATCTATTGATACTAAATTTATATGAAAATTCAATATATTTTTTCCGTAATATGTAGTCAAATTTTAAAAACTTTGACTGCAAAAGTCAAAATGGGATATTAATTTTAGGACGGAGGGAGTACTCCGTAATTTTGAGCTCGTGTTAAAAAAAACCTTTGAGAGTAGTAAAATATATTCCGATCCTTCCATCCCAAATTAAATTGTATATATATTATTCATAGAGTCAAATTTTATTCATCATTTTCTATCCTTATTGTCATTACTCATTTCATAAAATATACGGAGTAATAGTGATGTTAGCACTTGTTTCATACACTTTCTTATGTAGTAGTTTAATATGTAATGTTTATTTTTTTATTCTGCTCTAATTCTTTAATAAATTAAACTGCATTGTAGATAATTGCAGTAAGAGTCTGTCTCAAAAAATGAAAAAAAATTAATTGACCCCGTCCGAAATTTACATTTTAGGAGACGTGTGCGATAGACCGTTTTGCACACTCACCGGGCCGAGCCATCCATGATTGCAGTCAAGCGTTTAAATCTGAAACACGAAATTTAAATTGAGTAGTAAATTAAGAAAGATAGTGTGAATTACTTGTGAGTTAGGACTTGCCATTTGGCAGAAACTTGAGACGTAAGCACTAATCAAATTGGGATGGAGAGACGTCCATAAGAAATGGACTTTGCAATTTGCATAATAATAATCTTTATCCGCCAAAGTTATACATTCATTCACGACCAACTTAATTGGGACAATAATTATGATTGATTTTTCAGCGTGCTGTTAATATGATAACGTCTTTTAATTTTTGAAATTACTTCATGCATGTATGTTAACTAAGAAATTCTGCTATCAATTATTTATGTAGGTTTTAATATTATTATGAATAAATTATTTTGGAACGGATCAAAATTTAAAATTGTTTAGATTGAAGACGCACAAAACATACTAAGTATATATAGTTGCGATTTAAAACCAGCTAGATTGAACAAATTAAAATTAGTGAAATTTGCACTTAATAGGACTAAAACATACGGAGTAATGACTTTTTTAATTTAGGATTTAAACTTTTTTATTCCCTAAATAGGACTTAATAATGACCTAGTTGAAGGAATAATGTCCAGTATTCATGAACATTTAGTTGAATAATGACTAATTGATAATGACCAAAAGTCCTACATTGGAAAATAAAAACATATTGTCCTATATTGGAAAAGTCATTATGTTTTAGTCCTATTTAGGTAAATTTCTCTTAAAATTATTCTCCGCCCAATATTTTTTTGTTTTAAATTCCTTTAAATGCGGTGAATCAGCCGCCAAATTACAACAAAAAATTGCCGAGATTTTTTTAAAAAAATTGATAAAGATTTACTAGACTATGATGCGGATCATTCTTGGAAAACTGATACTAGAATAAACTTGAGACATTAAATTAATTAAATTATTATTCTTAAATGGAGTTCGAACATGTGACCTCAATAACTTTCATTTGAGAGAGTCGATATGATAGCGTTGTGTGAGAAGATGTTTTGACGATAAACTTGAAATTATTCTAAACAACTAGAAACTTAAGATTATTTCTAAATTGTGTAATAATTTAATATTGAGATTATTTCAGGAATTTTTTCAATTTATAATAGAGAAACTAAGATATTATGCTAGGGTCACAAACAAAGACATCACAAACTTAACAAAATCAATATTTCTGAATCATACTCCCTTCGCCCAAAATCATTTGTAACATTTCAGACGATGCGTAACATATCATTTCTTTTAAAATTATTTTATTTATAAATTGGTAGAAAAATAAAAAATAAAAATTACTCCGTTCAAAAGTACATAAAAAATTTTATAAAACAAGATGCGACAAAAATATTTTATTATATCAAATTGTCAATCAAAATGAGTGAACAAACAAAAATTATTGAGAAACCAAAATAGTAACTGTGGTATTCGTTTTGGGACGGGGGAGTACTAAAAGAAGAAAAAAAGTCTTAAATAATTTAAAAAGTTAAGGATCAAAACAAAATTAAAAAGTTAAATAACTTTAATACGGAGTATATCAAAGTCATTATGCATGGTTGTAGAGAGTCTTATTATTATTATTATTATTATTATTATTATTATTATTATTATTATTATTATTATTATTATTATTATTGTATTATTATTATTTTATTATTATTATTTTATTATTATTATTTTATTATTATTATTTTATTATTATTTTTATTTTTATTTTTATTATTATTAATATTATTATTATTATTAATTACCGGTCCATATGTGCCTGCCTGCTGCTGCCGTGATAACTTCATAAAAGCTACGACGTACTAGAACCATGTCGCTGGCACGACAAGAAACCTTAATTACTACGATGGGGCCATGTTTATGGATCTAATCCTCCCCAGTTACTGCCTTCCTCGGTGCTTAATTGCCTCTATCAGTTGCCTTCTACGGCTGCTTAGCTTAGCTTGTAGCTAGGCCGAGATGTATTAGATGAACCAAATAATCAATTTTATACCCACACACACATTTACTCCTTTAATTCTAAATAAATGTCTATTAATCTGTATAATTTCTTTTAGATACATTAGATTTTAAATGGATATGGACAAATATTATGTTCACATTCATTTAATTTTAATGTTCGTTCAAAATCTTATTAGATAGTTATTTAGAAACGAAGAAAGTACTCATTAGATAATTAAATAAATTGTATGATATATAAATTTGATAAAATAATAATTTAAAGATATTTTACAACTGAAATGAGTGAAATCAGATTAAATTGTTTTTGAAATAATATTTTATATTACTTTTATTTGATTTATGATCAAATTTATCGATTTTTACAGAAATACACCATTATGATAAATGTAGTCTCAACTAAATGTCCTAGCGATACCAATTTTTTTATATATTTACTGATCCCATCCACAAAAAGAACGAAGTTTACTATTTTTAATGAAAAATTTACACTAAATAGGACTAAAACATAAGTCATTTTTTAATGTATGACTTAAATTTTTTTTATTCTCTAAGTAAGACTTAATAATGTCTAGTGGAAGGAATAATATTCAATGATGGTGGATATTTACTTGAATAATGACTAATTGATAATAACTAAAAGTATTACATTGGTAAATAAAAATACATAGTCATATATTAGGAAAATCATTATATTTTAGTCCTAATAATTAGTTACACTTCCATTTTTATCTACCCATTCAAATATAAGAAATTACTATCTCCATATCTCCATAAAATTGAATAATTTTAAATTTAGGATTGGGCGTGGATAACTAGATTGGACACTAAGACACTTGGGCTGCACCATATTAATAAATTGAATCCAATCGATTAAGAAGTTCAACTCAAGAGCTTATGTACCATTTATTTTACTCTTGGACTTTTGAAGTGGAATGCACTCTAACACTCTTCTTCAAGTGGATAACCGGACCATTTTGAATCTAACCGGTTGTCCACATGCAAATGAACTCTCATTCTCTTGATTTTTTTGAACGTCAACACCTAAAGAACTACGAGATGCTGTATATGGACTTCCAGATGAACAATTATGTTAAATGGGCCGCTATGAATGAACGTCTAGACGGACATCTTGACAAACGAGGTGAGCCAAACCCTGCTCCGATACCATGATAAATTTAGGATTGAGCATGGATAACTAGATTGAGTTATAAGACACTTGGGTTGAACCATATTAAAATATTGAATCCAATCAATTAGTTAGTTCAACTCAAAAACTTATATACTGATTATTTTACTATTGGACTTTCGAAATGGGATGCACTATAACAAATAAAAAATCATTAATTTGGGAACTCTACCAACTCGATACGTGAAGTCAATTGATTTTGGCCCTGTTTTGCATCAACGTTGGAGATTAGCATTAACGTTTTGAAAAAGCTATCCAACGGTGGCCTTTAGCGTTAGCATTTTCAGAATTAATCTGTACCGTAAAATTTTATCCAAAACACTTACGCTAATCGAAAACGCTATTGCCAAACAAAGCATTTACTTGATTCATTGTAGGTCTACCCTGTTTCAAATTTTGGAGCGACGCCACAAAAAAAAAAAAAAAACTAGCTAGGGCCTAGGGGACAACAAATTAGTAATGGGCTTTGTTTGGAAGGGGAGCACGATGGTGGCATGGCCCATGTGGCAGGAGGCATCGACGACGGACCCATACACTAGGTCAAGTGACTGTTCAATTTTTTCTAAGGCTCACTTTAATATATGGGGTTGAAATTATGAAATTAGAATTATGGATAATACGAGTAATTCTAGATTTAAGGTTTGATAATTCAAAAATATGAGATTTAAAATTGATAGTGTTAAAAATGAATTGGAATTTAAGAATTCAATTACATCCAAATTAATTCTATAGAATAGCTAAACTTAACTTCTACAATCAATTCACAAACTTCAAACCTATAAGGGCTTTCTCTCAAAACAGGTCCTTAACACTTCCAAATGAGAACACATTGACCAAGAAAAAGCCATCAAAAACCATATGAGAAATGCAAAATTCCCATCCAACTGGAGCAGGGAGTATTTGTTAAATTTGTGGACTGATGGGAATGTGTTCTAATTGTAGACATCATTAGGGTGCATACAAATCAAATAAAATGTATTCGATTCGTGATTCGTATTCGAAAATGATGATTTGTATTCGCTATATTCGAATTCGAATCTGAATACGAATCGTATTTTAGATTCGAATTATATTCGAATCCGAATACAAATATTAATAGATTCGATTCGTTTATTATTCAAATTATTCGAATATTATAATTTATAAATAAATTTATATATATTCTAATATATTAAATATTTGTGTACAATGTTAACATATTTTAATATATTAAATTTTTGTGTACATATAAATTTATATAACATATTTTTACTACATTTTACATTATTATAAAATAATAATTTAATGTCTTTAAGAAATCTATTTTAAGAAAAAAATTTCTAATATTTTCGAATTCGAATATTCGAATACGAATTCAAATACGTCAAATATCTATTGAATCGAATACGAATGTTTTTTAAAATTCGAATTCAAATACATATTACTTTAATCGAATACGAATCAAATAGTGATATATTTGCTTCGATTAGATTCGTATACACCCCTAGACATCATCTTCTAATCCAACCCCTCTTGAACTCTTTGAATGAATCAAACATTAGCCTCCTTCCAAACCCAAGCCTTTCTCTACTAACTTTTGGTGTTTTTAGACTAAAACAGGAAAACCCAAAGTCCTGCAAACCTTTCTGGAATGCCATAACACCAACTCTCAATGCTCAAGAATTCATTCATCTTTATTGAGCAAAATGGAAAGAAAGAATACAAAACAATTCTATTACATGTGAATTTGCAGTCTTTTTCTTCTCTTTGCACTACCAGTCTACCACTACTAAGCAAACAATAAACAAACAAATCACCGCCGCCGGCAATACAAACATAAGTGTATATATATATATATATATTTCCGGCCATTTCTAGCGCTCATTGCTTCTTCTCAAGACTCCTTCCACGGCAATATCAAACGCGTCCCTAATTCCATCAATGCCCCTCTCCGCTTTTGCGTATATCAGATTGGGTATATAATCAATCACTTTGTTTCTCATCATTCTCACCCTTTCTTTGCTTATTGTTTCCAGCACGGATTTGATTGATGTCCCGTTTTTAACCTCGTCCCTGTGTATGAAAACAGAGTAACTCTCTGGTTCCTCCGGCAAGAACAGCTTGTACTGATAGTACGCGGATCTCCTCCAGAAGAAAACCGGGATCGAACCCGCCACCATGCAGTCAAACGTTGACCGCCTCGTCAGGCTGTCGCCGCGCGGCTGCAGGCAGAAGTCGGAGTCCAGAAAGGCTTCTAGAATCTCCGGCGTGCCGTTTGTGCACTTGTCCCGACCGCAGTCGACGGACTTGCAGGAGCCAGAACTCAGGCACTGGGAGAGAAGAAGGGCCCGGAAGTCGTTCTTGATTTTCCGGCGCGGGCCTCCGGCGAAGCAGAACAGGGTGCTCCTCCGGCGGGCGCGCACGAAATCCTGCCACCGGGCGATGTCCTCCGCCGTGCTGGGGTGGAATCCGGTGGGGTAGGGGACGGCGACGTCGTAGTAGTCCCACGGGTGGCCCTCGATGAGGAGGCGCGTGACGTTACGCATTCCGGGCGTGAAGATGCAATTGGAGCCCCAGTCCATTCCTTCCCTCCTGCGCCAATCCCATGTGATGCGGCCCATGGCAATGAAGTGATCCCGCCCCTGCGATCTCTTCCACTGGGGCCGATCCCCGAGCCAGTCGAACAGCAATCGGCAGTGGCGGTCGCGGTCGTCGTTGGTGTAATTGAATCGGACGGGCCACAGGTACTTGCCCAGCGCGAGTCCAGCGTAGAACGGGATGTAGAACGCCGCAGCAGATTCCGGATCCGCCGTCCGGCACTTGTAATTCGCCATCCGGTGGTGGTAGATGAGCTCGAGGGCGAATTGGTCCGTCCAGAACCACGACGCGGCGAGATTCTCCGGCAATATCTCCGAAATCCCGGCGGCCCTCGGCCCGTACCCGTGGTCGGAGAGCGCTTGGCAGCGGGAGTGCCACGGGTCCAAATCGTCGCAGTTTTCCATCAGATCCCTGTTGAAAACCCTAGGAAGGTCGTAGATGTACACTTTACCGAGAGGACACCGGGGGTCGACGGCGGGGATAGTTGCGGGCTTCGCGGCGGCGAGCGGGTGGAGGTAGTAGGACGCGGTGGCGGAGAAGGGCAGAGTGCGGGCGGAGTAGAAGACGAGAATCTGGAGGACGATGACGGAGGGGAGAATCCATCTGCTGACGTGATGCCGGAAATTGGCGGCCTTAGGGGTTCCGGGAAGCATCAGACTTCAACCGGAGGGACGATGAATGGCCGGAAAGCTGAGATTTTTGATTGGGTTACTTACAGTTACAGATGATGAGCCCTTGATTGACTTTGAAAACGATTCAAGAACTCAATAACAATGGCGATGACTGAGGAGATAGCGTTTGATTGAGTTCATCGGGAGCGAGGGCAGGCCATGGCCGACACTCAAAAATGGTTCAAAGATCTGTGTGATTTTGTTGGGGAGAAATTACTCCAAATTGAGAGGATGATGATGATGAGGAACAGATGTAGGGTTGTAAGTAAGGTCTTAGTGATGATGTGTCGGGTATCCCTTCCAAGTGACCCCAATCAAATACTAAAGGTCGTGTCGGCGGCACGTGCTCCCGACCATGAATTAGGTTGGATCAAATGATCAAAGAATTAGACTCTTTTACTAAAAAAAAATGATCCCAAATCTTTCAGATTTGGTTAAACTGTCACTAATGGGGTGTATTGAATTAGGAGTCTATAGAATTTTTTTAATTTGTTATATAAAAATTAGTGTTTATATTTTAATTTGTTAGAGATAAGGACTAATTGTAATTGAATTCTCAAAATCAGACCAAGTCAGTTTAATATAATAAATGTAAATTAAAATCAAATAAAAACTACCCGGAGTATATGTAATTAGGAGGGCAGCGCAACTATTGACGAAGGCCAAAGAAAGTTATGTAGAAAGTAAGAACTCCAACAAGCTTAATTAAGGAAAAATTTCTTTTACGCACTTGTAGTCTTCAAAATTGGACCAGATTTGATTGGACAAAGATTGGTTTGGTTAGACATTTTATCAAAGTAGTATGAGAGTATAGGGGCAATGATAAGTTTTGGAGATTTTACTGGGGGCATATCCTATACCATCAAATTAAAAAAACAAAATTATACTACCTCCGTCCCACTGTCTTTGTCCACATTTGACTTTTGGAACTGTTTATCTAAGCACTTTGACTTATCAAATTCTCTCAATGTGTAAGCATAAAAATAGTCATGTGTGATCTTGTTTGATTCGTCTTAACATATAGATTATTAATATATAATTTCTATAAATTTTTAATATGCAAATTACAAGATAAAATGGATTAAAGAAGTGTATTGGATGGTGTGCCAAAAGGTAAGTGGACAAAGACAGTGCGACGGAGGGAGTAATTAAAATTATGTGGCAAGCCCAGTTGCACTAGGGGCAGTTGCCCCCCTCTTACAAACTACTAGATCCGCCAGTCGGTGTGTGTGTCACTCTATCTCTCGTGCATGCGTTGATTTAGCTTTCTCCCCCATCCTTAGAGCAGGTAATTAATTAGGGGATGAATAATGGTGATGACACTCACAAGAATTATTGGACTATGTGAGCTTAATGATCCAATAGTAATCGGGTAAAATGTAGCAAGTATGTGTATGTGTGAAGTGTAGGTTTGTCATCAATTATGTGTTCTATTGTTAGAGCATCGCTTAACTTCACAGTTGAGCGTATAATTTTTTTTCTTTAATACACTTAAGTAGAAATAATAGAATTATCGGAGGCCAGCAATGATGAAAAGATGTATATGTACACAAGTTTTATTTAAATTAAGTTATACGATTTTATCCGGGTAATTTAGTAGTTATACGTCTCGGGCTCCAACCCAAAGTTGCCCATTTTTGTGGTTTAGCTTTGGCACAATTTAATTACGGAGTAATAGGTAAATATTGTATGTAGATACTAATTTAGTAGAAATACGGGCCCGTTAATTCATGGATTTGGATTATGTGATTTGGGACGTTACACAAGATTTTATTTGATTAAATATTTTGAAATATCTCTAAATAATGTCCATCTAAGAGAGTGCTATATACTCCCTCCGTCCTATAATGTTCTTCCCGTTTCGGTTTACGAGGTTTGACCGACTTTATTTTCAATTCAATTTATTTGATTGTAGGTGTAAAATTAAAAAATAAAATTTATATATTTAAAAACTACATCAAAAGTTTTAGAAAACAAGTGGTGACAAGACTATATTCTTTTTTCAAATACCTAATAAAAATAGGTAAAGAAAGTGATTAAAACTTGATCGTATGAAAAGTATCCGGGAAGAACATTTTAGAACAGAGAGAGTATTATTTGTAAGTATATCAAATTGTGTGCACATCTATATACACTCTTCGTCCAACAATAAATTTCTCAGTTATTATAATGACTCTTGGTAATTTATACTTCTTATTGTCACATCTTATTTTGTAAAACTTTTGATATAGTTTCAAACAATGTAATTTATGTTTTTTATGATATACCAATTTGTAAATAAAGCAATTTTAAAAAAGTATGATTTTGCACGTTATGATTGAGGGAGTAGCATTCATCCTCGACGTTTTCGACAAAATTCAAAGCTAGTTTTCCTACTGGTGATAGAGCAAGAAACTATAAACTAGTTTATTATAACTCTTTAAACTCTACTTTAGATGTCATTCATAAAAGTCATTTTTATCTTTTCAAATTCTAACCTTTGCATATACTTCGTACTCTATACGGAGCATTTTTTTTTGTAAAAAATCAATTTAGTTAAACAATTTAGAACAAGAGGACTAGAGGAGTATATGTTCATCTGACTAATGCATGATAAAAATTGACAAAATCCAGCTCGACGGATAGAGTACAATTTACCAACCAACACCATACATATGTTTTTCTAAATTTTGAAGAATAAAAATAAAAACTCTGAGATTTCATGGAGAAAAAAGTGTCACAGTATTAAAAAAACCTTAAAAATAATAATATTACTCCTATCTCTTCATGAAGTACTCATTTTTTGGGACCAACTATAAAAACATCACAGCTAAGAAACAAGGACTATAGGTGCCCTCAAATGCTTGCTACCATATGTGCATCCAAGCTTCGTACAAATAACACAGATGATAATCATCTGTGCGATACAGACCTTAAGCATCCTGCGAAGTTTGGGTGAATCAAAGAGTAACAATCATTTGAGGGTACCCTAACATAGAGTAGATAAATATCAAAATGATAGAGGCACACCACTTTTGACATCACCTTTTACACCAATACATAAATAGATTGGTTTCAAACTTGGTGTAAAAAGTGGTGTTCACCTACCATTTTTGAAGATCATCAATTAGTTGTATTTTGCAACAAACTTGTTGATTAATGCTAAGGCATTACTGGTGACCCGGGCCAGATCGTTGACCTGGGCCCGAATCGGAGCCTTAACCGACCGATCAAAAGCCCGGCCCTCAAAACCATCCATGCAAGTAGTCTGATCCGTCAGGGCCGCGCTGACCCAAGTCTGGGCGTTGCTGACGTGCAACAGGAATTCCGGTGACTGGGCCCGGCCCATTTTCTTGAGCTCCCCGACGGACTTGGTAATCCGGTCCATGCTGTCACTGATCTGGTCCAAGCAGTCCTTGAGCGGCCCATACTCTAAGCTCTTGGATCTATCCGTCGTCTTGCAGAGCCTGTTAACGAAGGCCTTGGTGGAGTTGGCCCGTTTCAGGCTCACGGACAGGGCGGTCTGGACCAGGTTCTGTGGGCTCTCTTTGATCGCCGGCCCGTACTCCGCCAGTGATGTCACGCACACGTCAGGGTAGGTGGTGGCACGGCAGGAGGACCTGATGAAGGCGGTGGCCGCCGCCGTCCCGGCCGTGACGGAAACGCATGACAGAAACACAACCACCGCTGCGACCGGAAGTAGGAGAACTCTGGCCATTATTTTTAATTAATTAGTTGGAAGCCAATAAGGTGGTACGAATAACAAGTGAATATATGTGTGATGATAATATAAAAAATATATTCCCACTCGCTTTGGTATTTATACACGGACTACCAGCCTGTTGGATAGGATATTATTTTGTTAAAGTGATACGCGGTTTTATTTTACTCCTTCCGTCCCATACTCCCATATCAAGTTCTAAATTAAACAATCTACAAAATTCTATCATTTCAAAAATGATTTTAATTATAAATTATTATAGAAATAAAGAGTATAAATTACATCGTTTAAAAATACATGAAAACTTTTACAAAACAATATGAGACAATATAAAGAATATTTTATTTTAACAAATGATCAATAAAAGTATGTACAAAAAAATAAAAGTTATTGAAAAATCGTAATAGTGGCAGTGACATCCATTTTGGGATGGAGGAAGTTTTAAAGTTTAGTACTTCCCTGTCTCAAAAAACGACTCTTCATTTCAAAAAGAGAGTTTTTGTTTCTGAATTTATGTGAGAAAAAAATAAGAGTGGCACCGGTGGAAAATACGTTAAGAATAGTGGGACTGATCGAGTTGGTTTGGGGATGTGGGGCAAAGTAGTGATGAGGCCAATGCGAATGTGTGAAAGGTTTAAGATAGTCCGTAAAAGTAGCAAAAAGGGATAAACTTTGAAAATTTGGAAGATGTGATTAGAAAAGACCTAAACATTTAGCAAGGATATGTCCTAGTAATGTGTGGTAGTTTTCCACTCGTTAGTGTACGTGCTTTTTATGCATAGTATTTTTTCAGTTGGATGTGTTTTTCTTTTGTTAACATTAGTTTGTTTTTATTTATTTTTATCTTCTGTGCTTTCTTTACTTTACTCTGATGTATGTGTTTTCTTTGAGCTTGTGATATACTTCGTTTTTTAATATGTACTACGTATTTTATTATTTAATTTTACACGAATTATCATATAAAATAAATCAAAATTAATTTTATTCAAACACCATAAATAAAAAAATTGTAAATGAAGAAAATATTTATAAAAAAAATTCATACACTAAAAAACATTTCAGTACAATTAATTAAAATTTGTTACTCGATAAAAAAATTAAAATTTGTTACTTTAATTTAGTACTCCTTGCAGCAGTGCAAACGGAGATTGCGGAGAGTGATTGGGGCCAACTGCATTGGAAATGCGTGACAACTTTTGACAAAGTGACACGACGATGTCTTGAACGATTTCTTTTTTGCACAAATACGGGTTATGGAGTAACTCGTCCATCAATGATCTTCTCATTGCGCGTTACGAGGTTTGACCGACTTTATTTTCAGTTCAATTTATTTGATTGTAAAGATACAATTTAAAAATAAAATTTATATAGTAAAAAAGTACATGAAAAGTTTTACAAAACTAGATGTGACAATACTGTTTTATTTTATTTTATGAAATGAATGGTTAAAATAAGCAAACAAAGTGAGTTAAGTTTGACGCTGTGAATAGTATCTGGGAAGATCTATGGTAGACAGATGGAGTAATTTATTCTTCACACAACAGGGATATAATTTGCACGCTTAAACTATATGGAGTGTTAATTTTTCTTATATTTTTTCATTAACTTCTTGATAATTTAAAAAAATTATAATTTGAATATTTTTTTTGTACTAAGATATTTTATGTACTTTTTATACATACCAGTAAATACTTTTCAAAATTTCCATTGATCTCTTTTTAAATAAATCTAATTGCAAATAGTAATATTTTTACAAGTACTCTATTATAAATATTTATAATCGGGGTAATTAACCTAAATAGGACTAAAACATAATGACTTTCTCAATATAGGGCTATATGTTTTTATTTTCCAATGTAGGACCATTAGTCATTATCTATTAGTCATTATTCAACTAAATGTCCAACATTACTTTGACATTATTTTTCTCACTAATTATTATTAAGTCATATTTAGGGAATAAAAAAATTTAAGTCCTACATTGAGAAATGACTTATGTTTTAGTCATATTCAGTGCAAATTTTCCTACGGGGGGTGCATAACTTGGGATTGGGCCAGTAATTAATTATTTGGCTGTTTAACTAATCACGCATTAATACAAGCTAGCTAGGGGCAGGTGTAGAAGGTTCCAAGTTTTCCAACTTAGTTAATTATATGGCCTCTCATCATTCACAGCACACTATGTTGGTTCGTTCGTTATTCATTTTGATTTGTCAACGTGTTTGGTATATTGTCTTCAATACTCTTTAATTATATATACATGGAGTGGGAGAAGTTTGTTTTTTCTTTATTTTCTCCCAAAAAAAAATACTCTTAGTTAGGCTAGTTTGGATGGCATGTTTTGACACGTATATGGTGTTGGTGATTTTAGTATTATCGGCCATTTTGTGTAATTAGATTAACTTAAGATCGAATAAGAATTTTAATAAACGTTGTTAACGAGGTATGAGGTGCGGAGTGCACGCTCGTTCAACAATATTAGAAATTTAACGGCAGGGCCCGGTGGCGGCAATCCCCGGTAGCGGGGTCCAAGGGGCGACAGCCCCTGGCCAGAGTTGAGCTTTATGAAACCTAATAAATCACCTCATTTAATATATTCGACCACATTGTATTCAGAATATTTTAATAAACTCTCATGTTTTTCAACTCTCTATAAAAATTACGAACACTCAATTTGAAAGAATTATGGGAGACACAAGGAATAATACTCCATCTGTTTCTTAAAACACATCTTCTTTTATTTTTTTTATATTTTCTAAAACACTTTTACTTTCTATTAAAAATGATTTTTACCCCTTTCTTATCCTATCTATCATATCATACTTTTTTACTAACAATTTATTCATCATATGTTATTTTCGTTCATCACATCAAGAGTACAACCACAAATAAACACTCTTTATTTTTCCTAAAAATGAAAATAGGAACCGTTTTATGACGGGGAGGGAGTATTAAAAAACATGCAGTCCCTGTTATAAAGAAAAAGAATGAGAGAAAGGAGGAGAAGGCGTGGTGTGAATGCATGCGCGATGGATTGGTGCAGTAATATTGACATTTCCATTTGCGTGCTGCCGACACTGGCCTACTTGTTGTGCCAAGCAGATTTTTTTCTTTCTTTTTTCTCATGACAGATACAAAATTGATGTACAACAAATTAACACATTTAAATAAGATCAGATGAGGTGCTTTTTTTTTACTAATTAGAGTTTTAAAATAGTTATAATTCAAATAAAATTTACCCTCAGTAATCCACCAAGTTGACATTACTACTAAAACTTTATCCTTAGTTATCTACCATGTTGACATCACTACTAAATGGATTACACACCATACTATTCTAAGTTCACAATAAATATTAGTAACATGTATTATTATATCTTCATTGACTATTTAATAAAATTAAATATTATTATCACATCTTGTTTTGTAAAACTTTTAACATGACTTTTAAATGAGCAAGTTAATTTTTTGAAAAAACTTAAAATTTTACTTCATTCTGGCTTACGCACAATCCATTTAGGGGCGGAGTGATTATGTGCTATGTTTGACACTGTGTGTAAAAAAATCTATTATAAGCTACTGCATTTGACTTGTTTGTTCCGATTAAAGCCACACATTGAACACTAGCTCGTTTGCCATGTTTCATTTCTATACAACTTCTGTCATATCTTAAATTGTTCCATGTCAAGTTTTCATAAGAAATTCAAGCAACATGTTTAAGACAGCATGACAAAAATGGATGGAACATCTAAATCAACAAAAAACCAATAACAAGTTTGCTTATGTTTGCAACATGTATTGTTTTGGGGTGGATTAAATTTCACAAATATTCATCTTTTCCAATATTCTGACTCAGAAAAAGCATACCATAATTTTTGGTAACCAGAGTTTCTTTTAGTGAAACCGATCAATACCATTATATACTCCATATATATACAAGTATACAACACAGCCATCAAAAGCACAAATAATGTTTTTTTCACATACCACTGGGATTCTGATAGCAACCGCCTAAGCCAAAATGTCTCAAAAGGGATCTCATCACATTATAGAATCAATTGTTTCATCCTCTTCCCAATTCCACCCCCACATGAAGCTGTAATTTCGAGCAAACTTAGGCCATCTAGGGTTTTGCTCATCTTCTTGATTCTGTCATGGAATGGGTAATGACTGCTGCTTCTCAACAGACTCTTTGGCACTCTTTACTACCAAATCATAATTCATGGAAGCCAGCTGAGATAGGTTCTGAAAACACAGCCTTTCAATGTTATTATAAAATAAGGAGTAATATTCTGTAAACTGTATGAGTTTCTCAGCAATTTGCATCACAAAAACAAAGTTAGGAACTACTCTCTTCGCCTTAAACATCTAAAATTATCGAATATTTGGTGTGGTCTGAGACTCTGAGCTTGTGTAATTGTCTTAATCTGGTTTGGTTTGGTTGTGTCTTCTTAGGAATATAGCAGCATTGGTCTAATTTGATTCAGATAAGAATAAAGAATACTTCCTCCCTCTCGAATTAGTTGTCCACTATCCATGTTCTATAAAGAAATTATAAAAATTATGACGAATTGCCTACAATATCCTTAAGATATGGTATGAGTAATTCCGAACGAAGAGGGTAAGTAAAAACTTAAAAAGGATAGTAGCGTCAGCATAACACCAACCACCTTAGTCCCCCGGTTATGGGACTATCCTACATTCCTACGTAGTCCTAGCTCCTGATTACCCAGAGAAAGTGGCATAAAGAATCCCTTAAGGACCATTCCAGGTACTTTGTAGAATGAGCGAGTGACAAAAAATGGTTTCCCTTCTTTCTCATGGATTAGATGCTGACCCTTGAGTCTCCTCGCTAGCAACTTGATGACAGTATATGCTAGATTCATAACCAGGGGACATACTCCACATTTACCCTATATTTTTATTAGGGAGCATAAATGTCAGTACCTACCTTGAATGAAAAGTTACTAAATGAATATTGCTCTAGCAGGGCTGGAGTGCCAAACTCTGTCAAATAGCCACATTCATCTCCCTGCATCAACCAAATCATAAAAATGATTAATTAAGACTAAACATAAAAGAATAAATGAATATCAGCACAAATATTAAGTTTTGGGTAGTTCGTTTGTGTGCATGTTTGTGTGCAAGAAGATTTTACGCCGAAAAATTAAGAATTAGATTGACGAGGCATAGTTAAGCAAAACAGTGTTGGTGGCAACTGGCAAGGTCACATTCTTCTATGTTTCTACATGTTGTTACTTCCATCTAAATATAAGTTGCTTGTTCAATTGTAACAACTTAAAAGTTTGATAGTGGACTCTGGAAAGTGCAGCTCCATCTTCATCCGTCCCTAATTTGGTCTCTTTCTTCCAATTTTTTGCCCAAAAACAATCTTATTTCATCAAAGGTAAATACTATGTAGTACTATGTAATTTCCAATGAAATTGATGTATAATGTTTTAAAAAGGTGTTCCAAACAAGCTCACAATGATAAATTTAGTTTAAAAACAAATGTATATAGATTTGGTGATTTACAAGAATTCTATCATGCCAAAAATTTATAAAATAGGCACATTGACAAATCAAGGCCCAGTTTTTAGAGATGGACAACAACAATAACCCATTTGGATCCCACAAGAGTAGGGATGGAAAACAACAACAACAACAACAACCAAGTTGGATCCGGAGTAGGGATGGAAGGTGAAAAATCCTTAGATGCCCAGGGATTCATCATGATTAGAAAGAATAGAAATAGATTCAATCCAGAAAAGACCCGAAACAAAGAGAGCACATGAGACTAGTGCTAAGAAGGGATTTTTACAAACATTAGTGATTAGACCACTCGATCCTCACACGTCCTACCTATTTCTAGTTATAGTTATATGGTATGTTTGGATCACAGAAACTTCTTGGGAAGGGGAAAATGTAAAGGAAAGTTAATTTCTTAGTGCTTGTATATGAAAAAAATAAATGGGTAACGTGTGTTTGGACAAGTATCTAAAACAATTTTTTTGAGTCATAGCAAATCTTTTATTTTCACCCAAATTTTCGCTCTTTTCAATATTCTTCCCCATTTTCCTTCCCCACAATTTGATTCTCAAGATGCTCAATAATTTTCGAATAATGCAATTACCTCTTCATCTTGTAAGTTGCTGCAAGAGCTGCTGCTGCATGAGATACTTCCAACATCACTCAAGTCATCAAAATCACTACCACCCCAAACATCTTCATCTTCTGGATTCCAAATATAACGGCTCATAAAGTAACTAGTGTCTTGTGGTTCAGCAGAAGGTATGAATGTAGCCTATATGAAATGAGGGAAAAAAGCTGAGTCCAATTCAATTAAAATGGAAACCTTTTTCTTACAATCCTCTAAGAAGAGATAGAGTGACTGTGTGTGTGTGTGAGAGAGAGAGACCTTTTGCCTTGCTAGTGTATCCCAGTTGATGTCCTTGAAAAATGGGTGTTGTTTCACCTATTAATAAAAATGCAGAAGATACTGAAAGGTCATACCACACACTTTCCATGAAATATCTTATAAATTGGGGTTTCGGAGGAAAGTTACTTGGTTGTTACCTCTCCTGCTCCTGTTGCACCTAATCTTTGAAGTGGGTTTTCGATCAACAACCTAAAGCAAAGGTGCATATAAACTCAGTGTACGAGAAAAGAGCACTTCCCAGTTTTCTAGTCGTGAAGAATATGGAATTAAATCTCTTACTGGTCAATCAAATCATATGCTTCTACGCTTAGTTCCTCCGGCACCTTCGGCCAAGGTATGTCTCTATTCATGATATTAACGAAAATTTGCTTCAAAACAATAAAAATATATCATATATTAGTTTTGATTTTTGAGCTATGTGAAAAATTGATGCACATACATTTTTTTAAAACTACATTATTGGGGCACTACATAATTACTGTTAGTGAAATTTGAAATGGCTAAGCAATAAGCACGTTAATATGTCCGTTTCATATTACTCTTGGCGTGCCAGAATTGGATTTAGTATCCATAGACCCTTTTCAAATGTAATTATCTCCGATACCATGTAGTTTACTTTGAAAAATAACAGATCAAAAGAAGTATACACATGTCAACATGTAATCTTAGGAAATAGGCAAAATACATACCACACATGGTCAGAGGGTAAATCCAATACTTTCTTCAACAACAAACAAAATAATTAAGATCTACTGATCAGTAGTGTGTGTGTGCGCACACACACACACAACTTAATGTCAAATCATTCCGAACAGGCTTGCATGGGTCTGACATTGAAAAGAGATATAATCCCACTTCACAATAAGGATAACTGTTGGACGAGTCTAGCTTCAATCCCACAATTTGGCATCACGAAACAGCTAGAGCCTGAGTGATTAACTATTCAAATTTATATCCAGTCACCATGTATGCAAAACCTACTGACCTACCATCAATTTCTAATTGTCTGTGCCATGCTTCATTAACACTTTGATGTAAAGTTGTAGATAGTATAAATATAGAGCACTGGCATTAGCTTCTATGAGAGTCAAATGTCATACCTGAGGATGCTCTGCATTAAAAGGTGGAATACCAACAAGGAGCTCAAACAATATAACACCAACAGACCACCAGTCAGCTGTTGCACCTACAATAAGAGCAATAATGTGATGAAATTCCAGCAACACTTAGGACAAAAGCTTCATCTGTATCCTATATATCAGTCATGAAATAGGATTCACACCATGACCAACGCCTAGGAGTATCTCTGGTGCCAAGTAGTCAGGGGTTCCTACAACTGAATCCTTCTGTTGTTTTTCTCTTTTTAGCGATGGTGGTGCTTTTGGTTTAACATTCCCAAGCAAAGGAGAGCCGGATGAACCAGACAAGTCATCGGTGCTGTTGATAAGGCCAACCTTGGAGAGCCCAAAATCTGTCAACTGTGATGGGAAGGATTAGATTGGTGAGGACTAACAAGAAAAACATCCACCCATGACTGTAGAAGCAAATAAATTTTGTTTCGAGATAGACAACTATAGGTTGCATCATTCGAACATAAAGTTGGGGAAAAAAGAGAAAAGAAACACACACACTGAGAGAACACAGAACACACTTAAGCCTGGATGTATTTCATCTGCTATAAATATTAAAAGTAAGCATATGCAAGCAAACATGCATGATGGTAAATTTGAGATTAGAAAAATACATGACACAAGTGAGTTGTGAGTTCAATCTGAACATGATCTATCATCTTACCAGAGTTAATCTAATAAAAAAAACTCTATTCACATTAGAAATGGGAACACTTTAATCTTGAAAAAGATAATGGTATTTGCCTTAGTATTTAAAAATTGTGGCTAGCACACTCAATTTACGTCAAAATACAAACAATCGACCATTCAGCAAAGCATTTTTGTTTCTTCGGTGTTCAGAACAAATACCATTTCAAACTTGCACTTACTACATTTTGAATCAACATTTTGCTTGTAATTGAAATATTCTGGAACACCTTATTGCATAGAAATCTAGGATAATGATAAAAACAATAACTAGTTGTAATGATGATTGTAATGATTAGGGAATATATAAAAATCATTTATCCTACAATAATAACTGGAGTCCAGGCTGCAACTCACTAATGCTAGAACAAACCATGTAAAGTTGTTAATTAATAAGGGTATCGACCTTGATGTGACCATCTGGGCCGATCAACAGATTGTCTGGCTTCAAATCCCTGTGAATAATATTTAAGGAATGCAAATAGTCCAAAGCAAGAACCTGAAAAGGGATCATTAAAATGCATCTGATGCTCATTGTGAAGCTGCAGATTTTGCTGGCATGTGATAAGAATCATAAGGTCATCATCAATGTGTACTTACGACTTCAGCAATATAAACACGAGCCATGTCTTCTTCTAAACAGCCAAGATTTCTCAGCAAAGAGAAAAGATCTCCTCCATTCAGGTACTCCATGACAAGATAAAGATTATCCCTACATGTGAAGGAGTAGAAAAAACGGACCTGCTCACCAACAGATTTTAGTCGCAAACTGTTTGGAAAATATCTTGAAGTCATCCAGGAGAAGTGTGGCACAAATGAATAATAAATAAGACATTCTAACCACGAATGGATTGCGGAGTGAAATTAAAATATCACGCTCTGCCAAAATACTCTCTACAGAATTTTTGCGTATCATATCAGCTTTTTTCAACACCTACAAGAATTTGAGTTACATGGCACCAAACTTTTAATAAATTTGTAAAATGAATTCGAAACAAAAAAAACACACAACTGAATCCACAAAATAAGGGTATGTGGAAATGAGAAAAATCCATGCAGCCTTACCACTAAATACATAGATGTCACAGTGAACGATAGACTTTTCAATGATTCTTTTTTTAGGGTGGGTGGGGGTGGGGTGGGGGGATGTACACATTGCATAGTTTCATCACCATATGACATTTTTACTTCAAAGTTCTTGATTGGTTTGATCATGAGACCATGAAAACGATCTCGGATTTTTAAAATCATAACTAGAACATTCACCTTTATTGCAAACAAATCACCAGTTGCTCTTTTCATTGCCAAGAAAACTCGCCCAAAAGCACCCCTGCTAATTGGCTTTATTATTTCAAAATCTTCAATAGTTGTCCGGTCCCTTGAGCATAAGTTGATAGGACTTGCACGTAAACTCCGTATAGTATCCTCGTCTGCTGAACTTTCCTCATCAGCAGTGCTATTTGGAGCAACCACTTTCTCATCATCAATCTGTCCACAGAGTAGGACATATTTTTCTCTGAGGGGTGTTAAGTAAACAAGGTTAGTTATCCAGAAGAAACAGCCAGGGGAGTGGAAAAAAATACAAGATGAGATGAACTCACTGCAATAGTTTTTCTATACGTCTCCCAAATGTCTCAACAACAAGAGCATCAACCTTCCTATCTTGAATGGCATACTTGAGGTCTTCTAGACGGTCAAGCAAATATTCTAATGTACTATAATCGTTGCTGTTCACATTGGCAACTGATCGAGAAACATCCAGTAGCTTACTTATCTGTCAAAATACTAAATTCTGTAGTTAACACATCTAAGAAAAGAAGATATATGAGAAGTGGATATTGTAAAAAGTTGTTATACTCCAGCACTTCATAATACAAACATATGAGTATTGATTAACAGTGGTTCAGGAGACCATCAAAGTAGAACTGTAATTTCCAGCAAACAATCTTCTTAATAGGATGAATCCCTCATACAGAAACCATTTTGATATGTAGCAAAGGTAAATAGGAAAGAACAAAAAATCACCAAAGAAGCAAAAATAAAGAAAGAGAAAAAGCTAACAATTCAAATATGTTTCCTTTTGGTCATCCCAAACGATTAAAGACATTTTGAGAAAATGATAGTGTGACATATTGAGGAAAAGCCTAAGAGTTGCTTGTGTTATCTGAATGCCAGAAAAGAAAAGGTAAGTGTCATATAGCAAAATCAAAATGAGTAACATGCAATAGTAATTCCAGTGGGGGAAAAGTATAGAACAATGCCTTCTGCGAAAAAATAAAACAAATGGGGGAAAACAGTTCTTTTAAAAAAGGAGGACCCCAGACAATTAAGGACATCAAAACATGCACATGAAAATTATCCGCCGACTACCAGAAGTATCCACTGAATGTAATGAAAAAAATCAGCAGTATGATTGATTTCATCAACAATTAACAGATTTATCATTGCAAATACATTAATGAGATGCCAAGAGTCAAGATCTTCAATAATCTCATAAATTCTGTAAAATACCTGCTGATAACTTTCATGTTCAGATATGGTTCTGCGCCCACTCAACAGCAAATCAATCTGGCTTCTCCGAGGAGTCATCAATGGTGACCTTGGTGTCATGCTCCTAGCTGATGAGGCCTTCTTTGACATGTCAGAAAAATTGTTAAGACTATCAAACTCAGAAGTTGTATCGGACTCAAGAGCACAGTCTAGTATTTCTCGAGAGCATCGACAAGGTAACCCATTCTGTTTTGTAGAAAAGATGCCTAACTCTTCAGCAACGCTTAAAGAAGAGACTCTTGCTACCTCAGGATTCACCATCCCATTGTCAATGCTTTTTGGTGACCATGATTCAAGTACCTTTTCAAGAATTTCTGAAACTCTTTCAAGTCGTTCATTCACAGTCAAACCTTTTAAGTCGCACCTATCAGCTAGAGTACATATTCTTGAATGTTGTTCTACATAAATAATTGGTATTTCAACTTCACATATGCGGCAGATAAATGAGTCCTCGTAAGATATATTATGTAGCAGAGAGTCAGATTTATCCATGTGTGGGACATCATCAGAGTTTTTAACTTTCTGGTTTCTTTCAGCTGCAGAAGGAAGCTTCTTCCAAGAGGACATCCTAACGCTTCCTGTAGATGAAGTGGTACTCTTAGCAGTGCTAACCTCTGTTGTCTCTCCACAAAAGTTCTCGTCTGTTTGATCTTCCTTGGCAGTTAGACTGCTATGGTCCATTCCCTGTGATTTTTTGTTTCTTCTCCCGTTGAATTCCTTAGAAGGCCCAAGCATTTGTTCTGGATACACTCCGACGTCGCTAAGTTTGTGGAAAGATAGAATGTGTTCTTCACAACCACTCTCTTTTTGAAACTGTACAAGCCGAGTACAACGAGCGAGTATGAATAAGAGGCGGGTGTGAGCTTGCTTTATAGTACCCATTGGCAGCTCTTGCCTTCGGTCATCTAGATTCTGAACAATGCCTTCGCAACTCAACCAGAAGTCACTAGGTGACATCTTTGCACATTGTCTGGCTACTACCAACAAATCTTCCAGACTCTCCTTCCAATGAGCATTGGGTTCTGATTCCTTTTCAAGCATTCCGACTAGATCGCCAGCAAAGACGCCCAAATCAGAGTTAACCTCTTCCTTTAATTTATCAAATTTTGACCGAATCATCACCATAATCTCCTAGAAAATTGCAGTCAAGAAAACGCTTACATGAGAAACCATAGCATTAGTTTCTGGGCTGCAAATTCATTTCCGTCATATAGCATATATAAGGATCAGAAAGAAAAGTAAATATACCTCCATTCGCCCAAAAGCACGAGATTTCCAAAATGGGAGAGGTCGGACTCCTTTGGAATCAAGTTCATGAGAGAAGCTCTTGATATCTGGCACCCTCTTTCTGCGACCACTTGTGACACGTAGTATAGCTTGAAACCGTGGAGATTGCATTTCCTTGGCAAAAGCTGCATGGTGACCCTATAATAAGAATATCATCATTTTATTGTTATTATATATAACCATGAATTACAACACATGACATTAAGCTGAGTTACCTAACCCTTCAACTAACTTGAGTGTATACAGCACAATAGAAGAGACATTTAAACCAAGTTGTGTAAATCAGGAACTACCTCTAAACTTGAGTGCCGAGGTGACCACACTTTCAAAGATTTAGTCTGAGTCCAGTGGACCTTTTTGCCTAAGATAAAAAAAAAAGACATTTAGAATCAACCTTCCTTTAGATTCAGAACACCATATTTATCTTTTAGTACTTCCTAAACAACTGGTTGGGATGATTAGCAAATTATTGCTTTCAGTTGCATACCAGAAAGATCACGCAATTCACTCTATCGATCGGATTAACTAAGACGACACAATTGCATCAAAGTGAGATACTAAGTTACTGCCCTAAATTCATCAACTCTCTGAGAAACTAAAAGTTTGTAATGTGGAAGCCCATTTACTGTAGGAAATTATATGCTACCTCCTTCCGGGAAATGGTCAGCAGATTGATCGGCATTGGTAGAAAACCTAGAAAGCGAATGAGCTACCCTTCTTCTCCCATTTCTATCGCCATGATCAAAAGGCATGCGAATTGATTTAGAAATGATGAACGGCGAGGGAGCAGAGCGAGTCCTAATGCGATTGAGGCCGAGATTCGATACCTCATTCATCAACGAATCATCACTTCCACAGCCTTCCTCCTCGTCTCCATCGTCCTCAGCATCTCCATCATCGTCGTCTTCAGGCACGGGCCGACTAATGGGAGGAATCTTCCGGAGATGCTTCACGACGGAAGGCGTAGACGGAGAGTCCCTGTGGTCAGCGGACAGTTGCACATCGTCTGCGGCGGCGTCTGAATTCGAGGTTTTGTCTGGATCTGGATTGGGATCAGACGACATTGCAGTGATGATTGTGAGTGGGGATAATCTGGTTCATTGTCGCATGGCAAATGTATTGCGGAGAAGTTGCGGTGGCAGATCGAGAGTCGGAAAATCGAGAAGTTGAAGAAGACTTGGCATGCCAGGGCAACACAGTTACACAGAGATGAGATTTTCGCGGGAATGGGGCAGCGTACATGGCGGCGACACCAACGCGCCCTTCAAAATCTCTCATTTCATTCAACATGCATCAAAGTTGAAATAGGGTGCAATCCGACTACCAAAAAATAAAATAAATATTTTAATCCTTAAAAAGAAGTAATGAAATAAGTAAACAGAAAATTTAATTTAAGACAAAAGGAGTATAAATTCATACAACTCCGAATAATTATTTATATCAAAATGACTACTTTTTGATACATCCTAAGTGCATACAACTTTTATAAATTTTCTCACATAAAATTTTTAATTTTTTTTAAAAACAAATACTTATTATAACAATAAGAAAATATTTATTTCGATCATATAGTCATATGTAGATACATGATAGACCTTAAATCCACTGAAAAGTTTGTCTACTAAGACATCTATATTTGTTTTTGTGTCAAAAATGAGTTTCTCATAACATTATCTTATGAAAGAAACAAAATGGCCACAACCACATGGATGATTTGATTGTGCCGTTTTGTTTTTTTATTTTAGAAAAATAATAAGTATACCTCAATTTTGAAATCATTTTATATAGAGATGAAGAAAATAATTTAGAGTGCATTTTAATTACTCCTGCTAAATTGTACTACCTCCGTCCTGCTATATTTGTCCACTTTTGACTTTTGGAACTGTTCATCTAAGCACTTTGACTCATCAAATTCTCTCAATGTGTAAATCTAAATATAGTCATGTGTGATCTTGTTTGATTTGTCTTAGCATATAGATTATTAATATATAATTTCTATAATTTTTTAATATACAAATTACAAAATAAAATGAATTAAAGAAGTGTATTGGATGGCGTGCAAAAATGAGAGTGGATAAATATAGTGGGGTATTTTCGAGGGTACAAAGGACTAGTCACGCGAAAGAGCTGCGGTTGAGGTGAACGGACTAAACTGAAAATGGCGCTAATTCTCCCATTATCTTCTTCCTCTTTTATCACCAAGAAGAAATCCACAGGTCATCTGCTTCCTCACAGAGGGAGACGCATAAATCTCTCCGCCAAATCGCGAGACCCATCTCCCTCGGAAGACGCGCCATCATCCACGGCGGTACCGCCACAGAAGAGGCTGGGCGGAGCCGGCCTAGGTTTTGGCTCTTCAACTCCAAAGACGCAGCAGAAGGGAGAGAGAGGAAGGGCATCTGTAATTCGAAGAGCCCCAATCGAAAAACCCAAGTTCGATGGGCGATCTGACAATGCCCGCCCCCAGGAGCCCAAGAGAAGCGAGAGCGCTTTTCTTATTGCTTGGTTAGGGCTTGGCGCAACCATTATTGTTGAGGGAATTGTTCTTTCTGCTTCAGGTAAATATATTTCTGAAATCATCCGTTAGAGCTCAGCTTTTGATTTAAATTGTGAGAGTTCGGTCAGGTTAGGTAACAATGCATTCCAATTTAGGATTCTAGGGGTGAATATAGACCCTTCAAAGTTGTTAATGGGAATTTCTGTCATTAAAACATTGTTAATAAACTCACAATAATCATGCTGGGCAGCCTGGTACTTGTTGACCATCACGCTTTATCATAATTATCCTACAAAATGTGTACTCCGTGCCTTTTAACCAAACCAAAGAAAATGTGTAAATTCCATCTGAAAGTAGATTAGTTTGTTGTTGGTATTGTTGCTTTTGTTGTTGTTAGCTTTTCAATTATGCATGTGATTATGATTTCATATTGTTGGAGTTCATGATGCGCAGATAGAACAGAGAAAGAGAAGAAATGAAAGGAAAATTCTCTTCATTACTCAAATTGGAAAAGGAACAGTACAGGGTATATAAAGGGGAATTAAGCACGTGCTAAACACAGTTAACAACCGTAACAAACATAACAAGAAAAAATATCTAGCTAACAAACTTCCAACTTCTAACAAATACAAAACTAACTCAAAACTAACTCTATAACTCTGTAATTCCAACACCCCCCCTCAAGTTAGAGGGTGTTTGAACCCCTAACTTGCCAAGAATCTGATGATGCAGAGGACCTGGGAGACTCTTAGTAAACAAATCTGCTAGTTGTTGAGTAGTAGGAACATGAATGAGAGTGATGAGCCCCTCTTGGACCTTTTCTCTAACAAAGTGACAGTCCAGCTCTATGTGATTTGTGCGTTCATGATAAACTGGATTAGTAGCAATATAGATGGCAGCACGGCTGTCACATTTAACTGGAATGGGAACAATGTCTGGGACTTGAAATTCAGCAAAGAGTCTTGACAACCATGCCAATTCAGCTGTGACTCTGCGTATAGATCTGTATTCAGCTTCTGCTGAATTGAGAGATACAGTGGGCTGTTTCTTAGACTTCCAAGAAATGGGACATCCACCCAACAAAATGAAGAACCCACTAACAGACCTTCGAGTGTTTGGACAAGCAGCCCAGTCAGAGTCACAGTAAGCTTCCATTTTGAGATTTGGGGAATTGTTGAAGTACAAACCTTGAGAAGGTTTTGTATTAAGATAACGTAGAGTATGTTGTGCAGCCTCCCAATGAGGTACCCGAGGATCTTGCATGAATTGGCTGAGAAACTGGACAGCAAAGGCTATATCTGGCCTTGTGTGTGTAAGGAAATTAAGCTTCCCAATTAAGGTTCTGTATAAAGAAGGATCTGGAAGAGGGGAACCAACACCAATTTGAAGTTGTATATTGGTTTCCAATGGGCATGTGGCATGAGCTGTAGGAGGACAATGAAATTGTTGAAGGAGATCCATTGTGAACTTGTGTTGAGTTAGGATCAGACCTTGACTATTATAGACAGCTTCCAAGCCTAGAAAATAGCCCAGGGGACCCAAATCCTTGATTTTGAAGAGATCATTGAGGTATTGTTTCAAGGCATTAATCTCATGGAGGTTATTTCCAGTGATAAGAATGTCATCTACATAAACGACTAAGTGGACAACTGAATTGGGTGTAACCTTAGTGAACAAGGAATAGTCATTCTTGGAGGTAACATATCCTTGAGATCTTAGAACTGCACACAGCTTAGCGTACCATTGCCTGGAAGCTTGCTTGAGACCATATAGAGACTTGCGTAACTTAAGAACTTGAGAGGGATTAGACATTTTCATTCCAGGTGGTGATTTCATATAGATGTCTTCATTCAAATCTCCATGTAGAAACGCGTTGTTGACATCAAGTTGGAAAATAGACCAATGGTTTTTTACTGCAATCGCTATTAAGGCTCTAACAGTGGTCATTTTGACCACTGGAGAGAATGTCTCGTGGTAGTCTATCCCTTCCTTTTGAGTGCAACCGCGTATGACCAGTCTTGCTTTGTGCCTTTCCAGGGAACCATCAGCTTTAAATTTCAGTTTATATACCCATTTGCTGCTAATGGGTTTCTTTCCTTTAGGCAAATCACAAATCTCCCATGTGCCAGTGTCCTCTAGGGCCTTGAATTCCAGGTCCATAGCTTCCTGCCAGGCTGGATTACTTCTGGCTTCTTCATAGCTCCTTGGTTCCTGCACATATGAAACACTATGCAAAAATTTTTGACTTGCTTGGGTGAGAGCCCCTAAGCATATGTGGGAAGACACAGGAGTGGAAGTAAGGGTATGAGCACAGAAACTAGAAGAAGAACTAAAACAGGAAGATGTATGGCAGACATAATCTTGAAGGTGAGAAGGGGGTTGATGAACTCTTGTGGATCTTCTCAAGGAGGATGATGAGGAAGGAACCACATTGGGACAAGTGTTAGAGTTGGTATTTGAAATGGGAATGAGGTTTTCTGTGGAGGTGGAGGTAGGGAAGAAGTATTGATGTGCAGAAGAATCCTCCATGGAATATGTGAAGTCAGGATTAGAGAAGAAAGGAGGATCCTGAGGGGATTTGTCATGATATGGAAAAATGGATTCATGAAAAAGGATGTCTCTAGAGGATTCCACCTTATGTGTGGTGAGATTATAAACCTTGTAAGCCTTTTTGCCATAAGGATATACAAGGAAAACGCATGCCGTAGCTCTATCAGCAAACTTATCCCTTCCTTGTTTCAAAGTGGAGGTATAACATAAACATCCAAAAACTCTCATATGATCATATTTTGGTGCTTTGCCAAAAAGGACTTCATAAGGGGATTTGCCTTGTAAGAGTTTTGAAGGAAATCTGTTAATCAAGTATGTTGATGTAAGAATACACTCACCCCAGAATTTGTGAGGGACATGGGACTGGATAAAGAGGGCTCTAGAAGTTTCAAGAAGATGTTGATGTTTTCTTTCCACCACACCATTTTGTTGTGGGGTGTCTCTAACACTTGTTTGATGAATGATGCCTTTTGAAAGGAAAAACTGGGACAGGGATGTGCTTTTACCAAGTTCCAAAGCATTGTCTGACCTAATGACTTTGACTTGTTTTTCAAACTGTGTACTGACCATGATTATGAAATTTTGGATAATGTCAGGGGCATTACTTTTTGAAGCCAAAAGATAGGTCCAAGTAGCCCTAGAGAAATCATCTACAACTGTGAGAAAATATTGGAACCCATTATATGTTTTGGTATGATAAGGACCCCAAATGTCAAGATGTATAAGTTCAAAAATATGAGTAGTATGACTCTCACTATGAGGAAAAGGCAATCTGTGTAATCTTGCTTTAGGACAAATGTCACAACAACTCAACATATTGGAATCATTATCATCAAATGTACAGATGCGTTTGAGTTTATAAAAGGGTAAATGGCCTAGTCTTTTATGCCAGACTTGTACATCAAGATTATTATTACAAGCTTTGTAACATTGAGAAGAATGGACTGAAGTAGATGAAACACTGGAATTGTGATTGATGAGGGATCCTGAGTTCTGTGGATGAGCTTGGGTCAGGTACAAACCACCTTGTCTTTTACCAACCTCCACTGATTTCTTCCTGAGATGGTCCTGTAATGTACAAGCATTCTCTGTGAAACATGCCTGTACATTAAGTTGTTTGCACAACTTTCCTACAGATAACAAATTATACTTGAACTCTGGAACAAATAAGACCTCACTCAGAACAATATCATTAGACAAATGAGCAACTCCACTTTGATGAACAATGACAGTGTGATTATTTGGTAGACTGATTTGGTGAGGAAAAGGAAGGTTTGTGAGTTTAGTAATGAGATTGGGATTGGAACACATATGATCAGTGGCTCCTGTATCTAATATCCAAGCAGAATCATCAATTGAATGCACAGTGCTACATATATGAGTATCCAAAAGAGTAGAGGAAGACAAAAGCGTACCAGCCATATGAGCAGAAAAGGCTTGATTCATGGAATTTGAAGCAGAGTTGAGTTTATCTCCTTGGATAGAGCTCAGGAATTTCATGAGTTGGCTGCATAACTCTGGTAAAATCTGACTTTCTGTCCTTGATTCAGTAGACTCACTGCATTCCCCTCCATAAGCATTTGCAGCAATCTTCTTCCCCTTATTGAATCTGAAATCCTTGGGAAAGCCAATGAGTCTGTAACACTTGCTCACTGTGTGACCTTTCTTCTTACAATTTTCACACACAGGAATCTTCTTATCTTCATGTGTTGCTTTGAATGATGCTTGAGTTTGAACACTTAGAGAAGTGTGCTCAGGAGAAATGTGTGTAAGGGACTGAATTTGCCTTTGCCTTTCTTCATGGATAAGGATTCCATATGCCTCTGGAATGGAAGGTAGAGGTCTCATAATCAGGATATTGCCCCTGGTCACATTATAATCAGAGTTTAATCCCATTAGAAACTGAACAAGTCTCTGATCTTGTTCATATTTCAGAAGTTCCTGCACAGCGCCACATGTACAGTTTGGAAGACGAGAAACCATAGCCAATTCATCCCAAGCTCTCTTGATTCTGGTGTAATAACCTGCTATGTCAGAATTTCCTTGATTAATCGAGCATATCTCCTTCTGTAACTGGTACAGACGAGCTCCATTCGTCTGACCAAACCTGTCGTTGAGCTCATTCCATAGATCAGCAACAGTATTGGCGTAGAGAACACTGTCACCTATTTCCTTGCTCAGAGTATTGAGAATCCAAGATGTAATCATGTCATTACATCGCTGCCCGATACCTGCCTTCAAAGGATCATTTGGTTTGGCGATTCTTCCTTTCACAAAATCGAGCTTGTTCTTGGCGGAAAGAGCAATCGTCATCGATTTTTGCCAGGAACCGAAGCCATCACCATCAAATTTTTGAGGAATTAGGATAAGACCTGGATGATCTGAAGGATGAAGATACAACGGATCTGTAGGATCAATTGCATTAGGGTTTGGTGTATTCATCGCCATTAAAACCAGAGTATAAGATCGAGAATCAGATTTGAAGAGAAGAGAGAAGAAGGATCTGTTATCCGAGCTCTGATACCATGTTGGAGTTCATGATGCGCAGATAGAACAGAGAAAGAGAAGAAATGAAAGGAAAATTCTCTTCATTACTCAAATTGGAAAAGGAACAGTACAGGGTATATAAAGGGGAATTAAGCACGTGCTAAACACAGTTAACAACCGTAACAAACAAAACAAGAAAAAATATCTAGCTAACAAACTTCCAACTTCTAACAAATACAAAACTAACTCAAAACTAACTCTATAACTCTGTAATTCCAACACATTTAATTTTGTAATTATGCATTCCTATTACTTTGAGTTTAGTAGCTTATACATACATGTTGTTTTCATTTTTTAGGGAAGATGGGCTTTGATATATAAAAAAATGGGATTTTCTAGTGGTCATTATGTTTCACAGAATCAACAGTTTATAATCGTGTGTTCTTGTTCTTATCAGCATCAAATAGATCATGAGGGAACCCAAAGAAAATGCATCATAACCATGCTAATGTCTCATAATGATTCTAACAATGCTTCGTGATGAATGAGTCAAGTTGTTGCTGATTGCATTGTCTCGCCCAAAAAGTGTCAAACTCACAATGTGAGTCTATAATGGTCAAATACAGAGTTCCGTTCTTGTGGTCTATGAGCATATGCAATTTCAAAGAGTGCTGATCTGTTCCACAACACGGAAATGGTTATTCTTGTTTAAGTGCATCAGTATATGTTTGCATGTGCTTTTGGAATTTCAGACGGGGAAAATGAGTTTATCATTAAAGAATGATATATTTTTTTCTTACTTCAAGAAGTAAAAACAAAAACACTTAATGTGGTGATTTTGGAAGAATCATTGATTGGTGTTTCTTCTAAGAGTACTTTAAAGAGAAGGATTTATTTTGGAAATTCCAGCCAAAAATGCTTGTTAGACTTGTACTTGAGTTATCAAAACTATGGTAAAGAGCTGCTCTTATGAAAAGCACATTTGCTTGAAACTTTTTTTTAACAAATGCACACAAAAAACACCCTTACCGTTGTCTTTGTATTATGTGGCTATAATATGTTCTCTTTATATACACACAATTAGCGTGTAACCCACTTTGGCATAGGTGAGGGTTCGGTTTGTATTGCTTACGATTGTTTAAAACAGAATTTGCAAAAACTGTCTGAAAAATGCTGGATGGGCAATAAAAGTTTACATTGTTTATAAAATTAAATGAAATATAATCTAAAGGATGATGATAGAACTTAGAAGGATTATATATCTTCATTTCAACTTAGAGGTGATATATAATTTGCAAGATTAATTCTATTTGTACCCCACACTTGTACCCCGCTTTGCACCCCAAAGGTTTGTCTTGACATAAAATGTAAGTGCAAAACTGTATCATGCCAGTGTTGCACTTACATTTTGTGTCAGGGCTTAGGTAAACCCTTGGGGATACAAAGTGGGGTACAAATTGGGGGGAGAGTAGCACACCCCAATTTGCAAATTCTGCCTCTTGATCCCGACTCGTGACAATCACAACTCTGACTTAGTCATGATAGGATCGGGATTTAATTTAAAAAAGGGCATGATCCTTACAATACACGCACACACGCACATGTTTGTGTGTGTGCCTACAGTTTTTTTTAAGCCTTTCGATTTTATTTTAATTTTTAAATTCTTTTTCATAGTTGGTCTCTTACACAGCTACACTTGCTTTTAAACTAAATTATTATTATTATTATATGTTTTAATTCCAACAATGGCAACACGTTTTACATGAGTGATATGTGATTCTGACTTACTCTTTAAAGTTAGGAGTTGTATGCTCTATTCTTAAGCTTTGTTGTTTTGATCAGTGAATAATTGGCCTTTGAAGTTTTAACCGTTCACATTTTTTTTCCTTTTTGGTTTGCGCTTTTTTGGGGGTGTGGGTGGGGGTTGCGAGAGCGCGAGACTCAGGGTGTGATTTTTTAGTTTTCAGCAGAATACTACTACGAGTCATGTTGTCTCAACATATTCTATCTAAAAAGAAGAGTCTAATTATAGTAAACCATGCTAATTATCATAATATCCAACGGTTGTTAATGATTGGGGTCTCCCCTCATTTGTTTCAAAGCATTTTCAGGATGAGGGAGCCACGACTTTCCACCATCTCCTCCCACCCGTCCCCTCTGCTAGGGAGGGGAATGAATGGAAAATTTTGGCTCCCCACCTAAAATATTTTTGAACCAATTGAGAGAGAGAATCATTTGCCCTCCACTCCGGTGAAACACACCCTTCCAACGACATGATTCAAGATAATTTTTAGCCTCTTACTGGGGTTGAGATTTTCGCTATTAGAATCGCATCCCTCGATGCACCCCTATTTTTAATACTTCAGAATAAAAGTAAATCTTTCCTTGAATTTGTACTATTTGCTGATTAAAATAATTGAAGCTATCAAACAAGGTTAACGAGCACAGTATTTATTCTCGATACCATCCATGTAGTGACAAACTGTCTTTGTGCTTGTAGGATTTCTGCCAGAGCAGTGGGATAATTTCTTTGCGAAGTATCTTTACCCATCATTCACTCCCACAATCGCATTATTTTTAGCCGGCACAGTAACTTATGGAGTGTTAAAGTATCTGCAGAGTGAGAAATCTAAGAGTGAAAACTGATGATTGTTCTTCACTCACAAAATCCAATTGTAAGTTTCTGCAATGAATGAGGCTAGTACTTCCTCCAACCAGCTTGTCCAGGCATGCATTTTCCATGTATTGCTGCTCAACTGTAAGTGTGCAAAAAGTAATTTATCTTTCTACTCAAAATAGATATACCGAAATAATTGATTACGTTACAAGTCAGCCGTGGAGGAGCAATCTGGATCTACATGTCTCTATCTATTGGTTCTATTTTTTTTTGAACTCCTTCACCGTAATCATTCCTAACTGCTGCACAACTCATAGGGGTATCTGAGTTTTGCAAGACATTTAGGCTTCATGAAGAAGGAGGTTATGTTCATAAGAATAAGGGTAATCTCGGGAGTAATTCTAGCTATATTCCAGACGTGATTTGGCATAACTCGAATTGGGAGTAATTAGGTACAGGTGACAAATCTTTTCAAAATATGTATCAATTATGAACACGTTTTTATTATAGCGCATCTCAGAAGTGGCCAAGAATATGTCCTATAGGATTACATGCTCATACTTACCATTGGAACTTACTTTTGCATCATGTGCATTTGGTGTACACATTTGGTTTGTTGATGGTAAAAGTGGGAGCATGCAAAGTTGTTAATTGAGTACCAAATCCCTGAGATTCTTTAATGAGTGGGTGAATTCAGATGCATTAATTGTTGATATTGAGGTGTGCAACTTGAATGCCATGTTTGATGGGTTTTAATTTCATCTTACATTGGTAGTGAATAGTGATTTATTGCTCTCACCACACCATAGTTCTTGATTCACCCAATTTTTGATCATAATACACTTTCATGCATATACATACATTGGTACATACATACATACATACTCCCTCCCTCCCTTAAAAAATCATTTTCTTTTTAAAGGAAAGAAGTTGTGGCTTAGAATACTTCTCTTCTTAGGCAATGCTAACAACATTTGTTTACTTTACGATACCCGAGTACTTTTTTTAAACTCTGTGAAAGTCAAAGTAAAAGTTTTTCACGGAATAGAGGGAGATGTGTGTCGAACGCGTAAGACATGAGTTTGATTTCTGGCAACTGTGCTGGGAGGCACTAAGCATATGTCCTCTACAAATATCAAGTGCAAGCTCCATTCTTTGCCATTAATCTGCGATTAAAGTCTAATTTATCTTTTTTCAGTGACTGTCTGATCGGGTCTGAGGGAATTCTCGGGGATAGGGATCATGCTTTTTACTCCCTCCGTCCCACTTTAGATTACAATATTTTCTTTTAGTTGAAATTAAGGAAGACTCAAATCAAATTTTTTTCCCCCAAATTGCCCCCCAAATCCCCCCAAATAGTGTGAATAGTGGCTGGCAGAAAAGAAAAGGAGAGGGTAAAAGAGTCAAATCACTATAAAGTTATTGACTTTGTAATCTTTTTTGGGACAAAAATATGAGGGAATATTGTAATCTATTTCGGGACGGAGGAAGTATTTGAATTGTTTTTTTTTTGAGGAATCTGGTTGGAGTTTGCGAAAGTAAAAAGGGAAAAGAGAGTGATGGAATGATTGGTGGCACGAAACTCAAGACGATGCATCCTTCACCGCTGCTACCAAAGTACTCAAATGGACTTCAAACTTTTATTACTCTGTTCTCTAAGGTATCATGATTAGACCTAGAAAGGTTATCTAAATCTAAATGATTCGAAAAGTGATAATCTGATTTATAATCGAATAACCCAAATGATCAATTAAAACTGAAACTGAACTAAATATATATCAATACCGGATTAAAACTTGAAACCAATTAGATCCGATTGATTAGATTCAAAACTGGTTAAATCCGAAAGTAATAATCATGAGTCATGACAAACCATTTTTTTAAAGTGGCAATAAATCATCTTGAAGACGACTACCTACTCTCTTTCTCTCACAACTCTCATCATCAAGTGGCTTATGAGAAAAAAATAATCTCATCTTTGGAAGCTTTACATGAAAAAACTCATGTAAGTGGCTTATGAGCATTACAATCACATCAGAGACAAGTTCCTTGTTTAAGTAAAATGAATCATATATTCCGGCACTCCCCAATGTATTCAAATGCGTCTAAAAAAGACCAAACATTAAGGAGTATAAACAAAAACTTACCGCTGCAATTAATCAATTTAAGTTTGATTTTCACTACATTTCCATAATTACTGTGACATAGATTGGTTGGAAATGAGAGGAAAGTACAGCCGGAATGCCAAAAATGGCCCTTGAAGAAAGAAAGAATGAGCATTGAGCAGAGCAGTGTAAATATAATAAGGTAGAAAAAGAAGTGTTTGCTCATCTACTCTTTTACTTCTTCTACTTTTACTCTACTACTAATACTAATTACTGATCAAGGGCATTGGGTCCAGAGCAGTAATTCTTGTAATGGTTCCATAGCCACTGCACCAGGAACCTCCTCCTGATCCCATTCATGTTATAAGTGGCCCCGTCCGCGCCGCTCAGCATCTGCCCGGTGTAGGACCCGCCGCCCCCGGTGCCGTATATCCCCTCGCAGAGGTCCGCGATCTCCACCGGGAAAATCGGGTCCTGGCCGGCGTACCACGCGTTGACCAGCGGGTTGGTCGACATCTCGGCGATCTCGTGCCCGATCACGCTTATCATCCCGTCCACCCCGGCGTCCCCGTTCGGGGACTTCACCGCCTTCAGGCCCGGTATGTACGCCGGCACCGCGAACGGGTACGCACACGTTCCCGGGCAGAACTTGGCCGAGTTCCCCACCCACGCATAGGGTAGTGTGTACCTATAAATAAAAGGTACGTAAAATTGTCAATATTCACTTGAATAATGACTAATGGATAATGACTAAAAGTACTACATTGGAAAAAAACACATGTGATGCTATTTAAGAAAAATCATTATGTTTTAATGCTATTTACATAAATTCTAATTTTAATTTTTGTTTAGTTCGATTCTATTTAGCATTGTTTTATTAAATTTACAACTAAATAAACGTTCTTTCTTTTTAAACATAAACTAAGTAGACTTCTCTTTCATAGAAAAGAAACCAAACTCATCACACTACATTAATACCAAAGCAATGTTTATACTTTATACTCCATATACTCTCCCGTCCCAATTTTGATTACAATACTTTTTCTCACACCTCTCGAGAATTTTTGTTTATTTATATGTTTAATTGATTAGTTGAGAAAATAAATATCTTTTTTATCTCTTATTTTGTAGAATTTTTAACGTAGTTTTTAAATGAAATATTTGCACTAAATAGCACTAAAACTTAAGTTATTTTTCTAAATAGCACTTAGATTGTTTTCTTCCCTAAATAGCACTTAATAATGTCCATAATGACCAGTGATGCCAAACATTTACTTGAATAATGACTAATGGATAATGACTAAAAGTTCTACATTGGGAAAAAAACATATGTAGTGCTATTTAGGGAAAGTCATTATGTTTTAGTGCTATTTACGTAAATTCCTCTTTTTAAATATGTAATTTTTATTTTTTATTGATGTAACAATTTGTAAGTAAAAAAGTAAAATGATTTCAAAGATATAGAATTTAGTTAACTTCGTAAATCCCAATTTGTAATCAAATTTGGAATGGACTAAATCATGAATTATTATGTAATACTCCCTCCGTCCTAAAATTAATTTCTCAGTTTGACTTTTGTAGTCAAACTTTTTAATCTTTGACCGTATATTACGGAAAAAATACATTAAATTTTCATATAAATTTATTAGCAATAGATTCATTTTGGAACATAGTTTTGAAATATATAATTTTTTATAAAATATATTTAAATAAAAATTGAGATATTGATGGTCAAAGTGTCGCATTGGAGACCGTAAAAAGTCAAATGGGAAGTTAATTTTAGGACAGAGGGAGTAATTGTAACAAAAAATTGTTCAACTCATGTTATTGATATTAATAATTCCATCTAATTTCAAATAAGGCCCCGTTTGGTACATGGAATTCAAACCATGGAATTGGAATTGAGGACTTCAATTCCAATTTTGTTGTTTGGTAGCACAAAAATTATGTTGTTTTGGAATTGATAGTGCAAAAAATGAATTGGAATTGGCAAAATTCAATTCTATGGAATTGAATCCCATGAAATTTCAATTCCAATTCCGTCAATTCCGTATACCAAATGGACCCTAATAGTCCATTTAGACGGTGATAATGTGAATTAGCTTTTTAATACGCTTTTGGTAGCTCCAAATAATTGGTTTAGGCTTTAGAGTGAATAATTGATTTTTAAATGTACCCACACAAAAGAAAAAAAGGGAAATGGACATTTTTATACGGACAGAATATATTGGTATCGTACCCGACGATGGAGGGGAAGGTGAAATAGTGGAACCCACAGACATTGTCGCAGAAATCCTGGACGTACACGTCATCCGATGTGAGCAACAGGTAGACCCCACTCTTCGGGTTTACCGGCAACGGCCGGGTCGTCGCCGTCACGGCGGCTTTTATCACACTCTGCACAGTCAACCTGGTCAACGACTTCCCCTGCGAGTAAAACCGGTCGTTTTTCTCCGCCCCGATGTGGACGTTCCGGGAGATGTTGGCCCCGGTTTGGTCCGTGTAGAGCTGGACCGTCTTCCACCACCCGGCGACGGAAGGCCGTCTGGAATCGGCGGCGGAGATCGAAGCGATGAACTCCCGAATGATCCGCTTCTGGGTGCCCGCCCAGTGGCCGTACCAGATTGGATAGACGGTGATGTTGGCCGTGAGGACGGGGCCCATGTGGTACCTCAAGTGAATCAGATCCGAGGATCCCTCGTATTTCTTTGACCCGCCGAATATGTAGTCGGCGGCGGCGGCGGTGCGATTCTGATTGCGCCATGGGCGCCAGCCGTTGACCGGAGGAGTGAAGCCGGAGAAGAGGAACACTCCGATTAGGAGAAAGAGGAGCGGTTCTGGGCGCATTTTAGTAAGAGCAGCTTATTAGAATGTGCGTATGTATGTAACAAAGTGGAGTATTGCTTTGCTCATATATGTGTGCAGTGTGTGTATCGAGACTCGAGAGATGGGGAAATTAAAGAAGCTAAACTGAAATAAAAGGAGAAGATGACTAATTTACCAACATATGTGACAAAAAAAAATCCATTCCTCACACGTTAAGTCAGAGATTTTTTTCCTTACCGTGCAAGACGGATTTGGCTACTCCGTTTCTACCCGGTTTTTTTCCAAACGGATTAGCCAAATCCGTTTCATTTAATTAAAAAAAATAAATACTAGACGGAGTAGCCAAATCCGTTTCTCTCTAAATTCAATCCATACGGATTAGGCTACTCCGTCTCCCTACGGATAACCCTCCCCCCTTCCCCTTCCGTCCACCCATTCCAGCGGCTCTTCTGCATCACCCATTCCCAGCGCTCGATCCGCCAAGAGAGAACGCCGGCCGACCAGAGAGGGGAACTGCCACAGGGACAATTCGGATTAGCCTACTCCGTTTCATGGAGGTATTTTTTACTTTTTACTTAATATATATAAATATTTATCATTTTATGATAATATTTAAATTTATATATATATATATATATATATATACCAAGTTGGGGTGAATTGCCTTATTGTAATTGATATATGTAATTAGTTTGTAAGATTTTGAATTTGATTCTTTAAATATTCATAAAAATTTGGTAATTTTTTAATTTTGATATTGTAAGATAATTTTTAATAATTGGAGTTATTTAATGACTTTTTTTAATTATAATTGCCTAGTTGTGTACTTTTATTAAATTAATCAATTGTTATGTTGTAATGTTTGAAACAAATGAGTTGTTATTAAATAAATAAATTGTTATGTTGTAATCTTTTAAGCAAATGGATGTTCATCCGGGACATGTTTCACGAGACGTTTTAGTTCTTGAAGGCGGAGTACATAGGTGTGATGCAGTTTGGGCGGACGAAGAATATGCCAAAAAAAAGTCTAAAGTGCCATAGGACTTGTTCTAGTATATATCCGAGGACTCTTGTTGCTAATAGACCACCTCGTGTTATAGAGATCTTACAATATTGTGGATTTTATGGGGTGGAGAAAGTGGGTGGATTACAGTTAGATTGGGCTCTGATTACTTCTTTAGTGGAGAGATGGAGACCCGAGACCCATTCATTCCATCTCCCCTTTGGAGAGGTGGGAATTACGCTACAAGATGTTGATGTTTTACTTGGATTGCCCGTTGATGGCATTCCATTGTCGGGGGGCACTAGTCGATCAAGAGATCAGTGGATTCAGATTTGTCATGACATGATGGGTTTTAGACCCGAACCATCTGATATTACATCTTCTACGATTAAGATATCTGCAATTGATCTGAAGGCGCTGACAGAGCATAGTGATGAAGTTGATTACCAACAGCATGCTAGAGCTATCATGTTTAAGTTGATGGGTGGCAGCTTATTTCCCAACACGACAGGAAATAAGGTTAGTTTAATTTGTATCTGTTGGAGGTAATCATGGATGACTCTATGCTGGTGCGGGGTCGTGCCATAGGTGCTGCAGTTCTTAGTTTCTTGTATCGTAGTATGTGTCGTGCGAGCATGACACATGTATCTCAGATTGAAGGGTGTCTTATCCTCTTACAGCTTTGGACATGGGAACGTCTGCCTATGACTAAACCTAGGGGGGTTGTACCATTGGAGCAGCTGGTTAATGTTCCATATGGAGTCAGGTATTTTCCATTTATTTATGTCTATCATGCATTTACTCAATTTATTTTATTCATGTTAATGTTTAATCCTCCATTGGTAGATGGGTGTGTTATCATCGGTGGTTAGATTGTACGAAACACTCCTTACGAGCGTACAGAGACCAGCTAGATAGGTTGCTCGAGGGAGAGGTAAGTACTAAACACATCATAGTGTTATGCATACATATTATATTTTAAATGTCTATTGTATTCCTTTTTTATGTATGCAGTTTGTTTGGAGGCCGTATCCGAATGTCGATACCCTACCACCCTGTTGTTCAGCCGGACTCCGAATATGGATATCACGCATCCCTTTGATCTACGGATATGTCGTGGAGATGTACTATCCGGATCGATTTTGCAGACAGTTTGGTGCCCGCCAAAGTGTTCCTCTCGATGTTGTGTATGATCGGCACCTACATAACATTAAGTCGACCACTATGGAGCTCGGAGACAATGAAAGACATTATTTAGGTGTATGCATGGGAGGGACGTTACGCTGCAAATGTAGTGATGGAATTTGGGATGTCTGATGCCACGCCTGAGTACCGTCAGTGGTATTACCTCCATGGTCGAAGACAGATAGGAAACCCCGCACATCAGCCCGGAACAGGCTATGTCCCCATTTCTCCTGAGTTACAGACAGCAGTATGTATTATTTCTATTCTGATTACTTTTTGTTATAATTTTTTATGCGACTAATCATGGTATTGTGCGTAGCTATCCTGTATGGCAGATTGCCATCAGCGCCTTGATCCAGGTAGGCACCCGGATGGTTTTGTACCCTCTCACGAGGTACTGCGAGTTCATGACCTGTTAGGTGAGTGTATACATGCTCTTGGACATGCATCTATCCTCGATCATCCACAGCAGCAACCAGTATACAATCCAGGACATATTCGGAGAAGGGCAGATAGAAGGCGTGATGCACCTCTTGTAGGGGTTAGGCGTGGCGGGCGTGGTCAACGTAGGTTGCAAGTCGTGTATGCATAATATCTGATAAACACAGTGGGATTGAGCATGCATTTGAAAATGTCCCAGAGTTAGGTGGAGGTCGAGTGACTCGAAGATATTGTCTCCGCCACCCACGCAGCAATTTCTGGAATAAGTTCCGAAGTAAGAAGTTGCGGACCTTGATGTACAAAGCTGGTAAAGCCCCGAATAGAAGTGAGTTTGACCAGTTGCTACTCCAAATAGCATCCAAAAATCAAGAAGCCTACAACTGGCTTAATGCCATTTCGGAACACAAGTGGGCTTTGTCACATGATGAAGGTGGGTCACGTTATGGTGTAATGACTACAAATTCCTCAGAAAGTTTCAATCATGTCCTTAAAGGATGTCGTTGTTTGCCAGTATATGCCATTGTGATGTTCACCTATGATAAGCTGGTCAAACTTTTCGCTGAGAGGAGAACCAGTGGGTATGTATGGCAGCAATCCGGGTACAATTTTCCTATGAATGTGTGGAAACATATTAGGAAAAATGAAGAAAATAGGCTGTATTGTCGTGTTGTGCAGCACCACGCACAACAAGAGATATACTCTGTGGTGGTGGATGGGTCGTCCTACATTGCTCAACGGGAGACATTTACGGTGAACTTAAATGCACGAACATGTAGCTGTGGTCAATGGGTAACATTTCACCTCCCGTGCAATCATGTCCACGCAGTATGTCATTTTTGTAATGTCACCATGGATCATTTGATTCCAAATGTTTTTTCAATTCAGTCCTACATCAATGCTTACTCTGGCATCATAATGCCGCTACCGGATGAGTCTCAATGGCCTACTCCAGAGTACGATATCCTGAGGCCAACACCACGACAGACCACACGAACCGGCCGACGTACGAGAACTCGCTATCCGAATAACATGGACTATCGATCACGGAGACATCGTAACCAGGAATAGCTTTGTCATGAATTTCAATTATGTCTGAGTTTATGTATTATTAAATTTTACAAATAAGTTAGTCATGGATTGTGTTTTGGCTTCTCTTTTTATGAATAAATTGTTATATGTACTCTAGCAATAAAATTATTGTGTTTTGTCTTGTTTTTTTAATATCGTTATATAAATACCACTTAAAGTCAATAAATAGTATTTTGTTTAAAATTTTATTGTAGTCTATTATTTACATCTTCTTTATGTATGTTTCTCGTTTATTTTGTAATTAATTTGGTTTCTTATAAGTAATTTAAAAGTAACAGAAGTAAATTGATTTAATTCAGTTATTAAAAAATTTTAAAAATTTTAAAATACATTATTTTAATAAAATAAAGTTAGAAAAATTAAAAAAAAAGTTTATAAAAGTGGATTTAATTTGTTAAAAAGGTTTATAAAAGAGGAGATAAAATAACTAAAAAAATTTAAAAGGGAAAAAAAATTGGAACAAAGCAACAAATCCGTTTTTAAAGAAAATTACAAAAAAAAATATGGGAATGGATTAGGCTAATCCGTTTGGTAATTAAATAAGTGGAATGGATTAGCCTAATCCGTTTAGTTAAATAATATGCATCAAAACAGATTAGGCAAATCCGGTTGGTATTTTGGGGGGAAGTGCACTTTTAAATTGCATATAAAAGAATAAGATGCAGGGTTTTTACACAAACAGGGAAATGACCCGGAGAAGATGGGCAGAGTGTAAATAGGAAAAAGGATTAAGGTATGTGTACTCCAACATTTATACCTCAATTTGTACCCCGCAAGTTTGCACTAACATTTTGTGTTGGTGTAAAACTAATTTTTGTTAACGCAGTAACACTTTGTGTCCGTCTAAATTTTTGTTAACGCACCAACATTTGTGTCGGTGTAAACCATCAAAATGTTTGTGCATAACTGTGGTGTACAAATGGGGTATGTTTTTTGGTGTAAGTGTAGCATGGTCCTCGGAAAAACTATGCTATAGGGCATGTGGTCTTTAATAGAAGTGATTCATTCCTCTCATTTTTTGGAGTGGGCTACTTGTGTGCGTTTTGCACTTGGCAAATGCAATGAGTGCTAATGGGTAAAATTTGAGTTTGATTTTTACAATTATGCTGAGCTGATAACTGTGTTGGGAGGCAACTATTGTGATGTATTGGACTTTGATATTATTCACTAGTAATGAAATAACTTTTCCTTTCAAAAGAACTTGTATATAATCAATGTGCGCTTTATTTTTTTTCTAATTTGATTTCCTAATTTGATGGTTCATACTGACACAAAATATTAATGCAAAATTTAGTTTATAATGTACACCACTTAAATAGCATGTGTAGTAGAAACACGTATAGATAACTATTGTTTGTATATCGCATAAATAATTGTTGTATATGTATGTCTATAACACAATTTGATGTGCAAGTGATGTACACCAATGTGGAGGTGGTGTATGGCTATCATAACCATATTTTAATTTGATTTCTATCGTCTCCAATGTATACCTTTTGATCAAGACGTAATTTAGCTAGTTGAGTAGGTAGTGCCACTGAATTCAATTTTGCCAACAACGAAAAATGATAATGCTCCACAGTTTAATTTTAGAGAAATTTACCTATATAGGACTAAAAAATAATGACTTTTCCAATATAGGACCATATATTTTTATTTTCCAATGTAGGACTTTTGGTCATTATGAGTTAGTCATTATTCAAGTAAATGACATCATTTCTGGACATTATTTTTTTCACTAGTCATTATATATTAAGTCCTATTTAGGGAATAAAAAAGTTTAAGTTGGAAAAATGACTTATGTTTTAGTCCTATTTAGTGCAAATTTCACTTAATTTTACACTTTCGAACATACTACAACTATTTGGGCCAATAGTGAGGGGACTTGGGGGATTAGGCATAACCTTTTTTTTACCAACTTATTACGTAGTACTTTCTCATTTTTAAAAATAATTTTATTTATAAATTAATATAAAAATAAAAAGTACAATTACATACTCCGTATTTTTTTCTTCTTTTTTTAAATTTTTGTTTAGCGCGGCAAAAGAGAACGGGAAGGGGACTTTGGACATGAGACTCTGCAAGTGTTTGGGAGAATCTTGACTACCCTCCCCTCGATAATCGGATTCCACCCATTTTATTTTAAATTCACCCATGCTACACCCCCTACAAGTTATTAGTGTCATCCATTATTTCAACCATTTCACTTTTGAAGGGTGTTAAGGTAACCTAATTTTTTTAAATCAATCTAAGCATGACTTCGTGATTTATACAAACATTGTCACTGTTTACCAACAATAAAAGTCTGTATAGTTTATGTAAACTATGTGATCTTGCTTGGAATCACCCTTTTGAAGTTAACTTGGCTCTACTATTGCAGCTTTAACCTCTTTCTGAAAGATTTGTGTTGATATTAGATTATAAAAATCTTTTCTAGCAACCACAATTAATTACAAGTTTAAACGTTTGACAAGGGAGTGATATGAAATTGGACAATATGTTAAATAACTATAATTGATAAATATTACACATGTATTATTTCTTGGCGGTCTCAAAATATTAGGGTCTTTTAATTTGTGAGCCAGCAATGCGACCTAACAAAACTTGTTTTTGAACAAAATGAGAAAATGTGCAAATGTGGTGTGTGTGTGTGTGTTTGATGGTGTGATAATTAGTGATGCTCATTAACTGGAGCGTACATAAGTTGCTCGGCTTACCCTTTTAAGGCCGGCAATTTTAATTTCAAACCACTATATATACATACATATACCAATTCAGTAATTCTCTCTCAATGTTTGGCTTCTTAAAAAAAAGAAATTGACAAATTTTAATTATCTCAATGTTTCACTTCTACAAAAAGAAAAAAAGAGTTTGACAAATTTTATAGGGGAAATTATCTCAAATAATCTCATCTTTTCACCGTCTTTCAATCATAATTCAACTTTTCATTGTCACGAAAAATAATTCAACATTTTCTCATGTTTGCGAGTTTTGGATCGTCGTTAGAATGCTAACGTTTATCTAACGGAATTTTTAGAAAATACTTTTCTTTTGCAAATAAATGAAAGGTTGGATTATTATTTTGAGCACTATCCTATACTCCCCTTGTTGGAGATCTTATTTTGAGGACTATCCTGTACTTCCCTTATCTCAAAACTATGACATTTTAAATCAAATTTATATAGATTTTGACTATTAATAAATGTAGACATGGATAGTCTGGAGGGTGTGCAAATAGTGTACACTCGCACAGGACCTCCAAATTTTAGAGTCCAATATTGTCAGATTTTCATTATTCTAATTAATTAATTACGGAGTACTTGATATTTTTAAATTTAACATAAATTTATATCTTAATTTTTAAATTGTTATAAAAATAATTATTAAAATCAAACTTAGCACTAATTTTAAAGCATTAGTACCTTATAAAAAACAAAATAGGGTCCAACATGTGAATTATAATTTGTACAAGACCAACCTCATTTTTCAAATTTCTGGAGCGACCCTGAATATATATAGAGTATAGTTTTAAACTATTACATGTTAAAGAGTACATCCAAAATATATCTTAAAATGAACTTAAATATAATAAACATTATTATCCTTAGATATTTAACTATTTTAAAATATTAGAATGAAACGTTGAAACTATTGTCAAATAAAAATAGAATCTGGCTCTAAAGTTTGAACATGGCTACATGCTATTGTTATAAGTTAATTTTTTTGGTTTGATTATATATTTCATGAATCTTTACATGCACACTTTTTGATATGCAGCATGTCTTGTTGTCTTGGGTCAAAAAGACATTGAATATTGTCCTTTTCATTAAAATTTAAAACATCAATCAATTTTAGAAGTGTAAAGATTATTTGTTCTAAGACTAAGAATTTTTTTGTCTATTACAATATAATGGGAGTGAACTAGGTAGAATTTGATTTTTTTTCTAACTTTAATGGTTTATCTTTGAACTCCCGATCATTAATTTATCTCTAGATTTATTTATTCGTGCAATTACTTAGAGTGCTTCTTCATTATTGTTTTTCGTAAAGGTTGATTAATAAAGCAAAAGACTTGATTTTCTGACCACAAAACCCATAATGGCATAATCAATAAAAGTTCAATAGGTTTTTGTCAATAAAATAAAATGAAAGTTTAATACTCCCTCAGTCCCTCCGTCCCTAAATAAACTTCTTCTTTTATTTGTTCTTTGTCCCCAAATAAACTTCTCTTTTCCCTTAAAAAACCCTTTTACCCCTTACTTTTTCATACCCTACCTATCACATCATACCTTTT